TGGGATTCTACACTTGATATAAATTTCCTTGCTAAATTTTGATATTACCAATTATCTCCAATGTTTCTAATAGTAATTTATGATTTACTGTATCGAAAACTTTTTTAATCAACAAAAATGCTAATAAAAGGTATTCTGTTATGAGATGAAACGGTTTGATTTCTACATTATTTAATGAGCCTTTGAATGCGTTTTTTTGTCAATCGAAAGTCATGTCTGTTGAGGGTAGTTAATTAAAACGGTTTTGCTAATTAAAAATCTCAACATGAGATTTACTTGGGGGTTTCTTAATTTGCTAGCAAATAACCTGTCTTTGTATTTCTGGATGACAAAATGTGGATGCTTTGACTAAACGTATTACGGTCATGCAAATACAGTTACGAAATCGTTGACACAAGCTACGTCATCTTCCTATGAGCAGCGTTTCATGACTGCATGGATTTGATTATTTTTATAAAAGTAGATTGTGTGTATATTTAGATTTGAACTGAAAACAGACTCCAATATTCGTGGTGTAACCACACACCTCATCGCGTTGTTTGACAGAAAACACGATTTCATTTATTCGTTTTCATTTTTACAAACAGATTTCGAAAGAACGATGTGCTTTTTCATAATTTTGGGCTGAAAAAAAAATTACAATGATGGCAAATAATCCTATTATTAAATTTCACCTAATCGATATTCTTTGTTCTCTAAATAATTTAGAAGGATACGGCTTAAAAAACGATTAATGTCTTACGGCAAAAATGAAAATATGTGCTCCTCTGCTTATTTTTTTGTGTGGGGTTACAGATGAATTTTTTGTTTCATTGAAATAGCAGTTTGCTTCTTTCAGTTGCTCTCGCTGGAAGTTTTTCGACTTACCTAGATACAGCTTTCCATCTCGTACTACGTTTATACAGGGTTACTTGTAATTTGCGGAATTCCTTTCAAGACGTGACATTCAGGGTGACTAAAAACAGTGCTACTATTTCTAGATTAGAAAGGAGGTCCAAGAAATAATAAGAAAAGTTAATAACCCCTTAACGAGATACAGGCTGTTGAATTCAGGATTTAACAAACGAAGAAAACTATATTTCTAGAATGAAAAAGAGTGTTACCTTAAAATTTTGTTTATATAATACTAATAGCTTAACCAATACAGATGAAATTCTCGTGGCTGAAGCTACACAAGTGGCGTAGAAACTGGAATATTTAACCCCTAAAGAGGAAGAAAGAACATTTTTTCCTTCTCCACTGACTTCTTTGGAATATTTGATGAGATATTTAATTCCAAATACTAGTATATTATCTCTTTTGAACATTTTTGGGTGACAATTCCAATAGGGGAAAAATCGGTTCGAATATTTGGAGAATGAAAAGCTCAAATTTGTTACACTTCCAAATATTTTTCATTATATTTAATATCTTATGGGAGTAATCGAACGTTGAATCTAGACTAACCAATGCACTGATAAATGATAGATCGTTGAATACCAACGCTAACAATATCCCATCATCTCCGACTGAAACTTTGGAAATACTCAGACGATCTCACAATATTATCCTGAAAGGTCTTCCTGAAGGCAACCATAATACGTGAGGAGCTGAAACGAACGCAATATCACGATTAAATATGTCAAGGGTAGACCATCCATTGTCAATATTGTTGCACAGCAATTTTCTGTATAAAAAAACTGCTAATCGAGTGGTCGGTGTGCTACACAAACATTCAATCACTGGTATCTAAACTTCTCGAAGTGCAAGCATTTGTTGATGGAACCGAACCTCCGTTTCTTTGCATGACAGAAACCTGGCTCAGCCCAAATACACCTGACTATGTTGTTAATTTGCCTGGTTACTGTTTGTATAGGGTAGATTCCTCTCGCACCCCGGGGTATTGTGGGGTTTGTGTTTATGTACGTTACGAAATTGCTGACAATTTCACAATAACTACTACTTCCAAGAGCCTCGATGGTATCGACAGTCTCTTTTTGGAACTAACACGGCCAAACTTCAGTACTAGCCTGTATCTACAGACCGCGTCCCTGTGCTGGTGATGTTTATTTGTGTCAATCCGTTGAAGAACTTCTAACCAAGAATTCAAACATTCTGTTAACTGGTGATTTCAACTTTCGTGACATCAGCTGGCGCATGACAACATTACCAGAATGCAACTATCCTTCTGCCCCTTATATTGATTTAATGCGTAAGTCGAACATCCTCCAACTCGTAGATCATCCGACGAGATTCAGAGAAGGCCAAACTCCCAGAACTCTCGACCTGATATTTGTCAATGATCCTGACTTTGTTTCCAGTCTAGACTACCAACCTCCTTTTGGGAAGTCGGATCACTGTACTTTATTGACCTCACTTCAATTCTATGTACACACTCCATCACGTAGACACTTCAAACCTGTGAAGCTATTAAACTACAGTGCTCTCAATCGAGCAGTGTCTGAAATAAACTGGTCCAACCTGCTCGCACAACGTAGCACTGAAGATATGTGGGATATATTCTCTCGTCGAATCCAACTGGAAGTCACTAAGCATACGACCACAAAGAAGATATTCAGTCACCCAAGAAAGCCTTGGAATAACCATAACCTCTCAAGGATGGTGAGGCATAAAAAAGCGTTATGGCAAAGATTCCATAGAAGTAGACTATAACAGGATTATGTATCTCATCGATCTTTCTCTAGCATCCTTTCCAAGAACTTGAAAAACGCCAAGCGCAATTATGAGCAAAATCTTGTATCATCGAAAGATAAGAAGAAGTTGTTTAGATACTTGAGATCCACCCTGAACTCTAAAGTTTCTTCCCCACAAATCCGTGATCTCAATGGCCACCTACTGATGCCGAAAAATCTGCCAATCTTCTTGCCGATGCTTTCACTGAAGATTTTGTGAATGAACCTGATGGTGATGGTACTCTTCCGAACTTATCCAGACCTCATAGATGCCTAGCGACCATGTGTAACATAGATTTTCAACCTCACGACATAGAGAGGCACCTTTCTAAACTGAAAACTTGTTCGTCCCCTGGAAAAGATGGGGTTACTTCTGCCGTCATGAAGTACTGTGCTTCAACTCTCGCATACCCCCTGTGCATTATATTCAACTCCTCGTTTCAAAATCACATCCTTCCTTCCTGTTGGCGTACTGCATCTGTGACACCTATATACAAAAAAGGAGATAAAACATCTGCGAAAAACTACCGTCCCATCAGTCTGTGCCTATAGCTGCGAAAATAGCCGAAAAGATCGTCTAAGAACAACTTATGACATTTGCGTTCAAGAACAACCTGCTGCCTAGCAACCAACATGGTTTTATTCCTGGTAGATCAATTATCACCAACATGATACACTGCATCGACAATTGGACCAGATCTTTAGACGCAAATGAACCGGTCGACGTGGTTTATCTGGATTTTTCCAGAGCTTTCGATCGAGTTCCGCATAAAATGCTCCTGCACAAGCTTAAACATCTCGGAATCAGGGGAAATTTGTTGTTATGGATTGAAGCTTTTTTGTTAGATAGATCTTTCTCCGTCCGTGTTGGAGATGCCTATTCTTCTAGCCATCGTGTTACTAGTGGAGTTCCACAAGGATCTGTGCTAGGGCCAATACTTTTTCTTCTTTATACAAGCGACCTTCCCACCCGACTGTGTTCCATCTAAGCAGATGATACTAAAGTCTATAACACTGCCATGAACTCATCTGTGCTTCAAGAAGAACTCAAGCTGATCAGAAAGTGGTTAGAACTTTGGCTCCTGCCTTTAAATCTGTCGACATGCTGCGTTCTCCACCTGGGAAAGAATAATCCTAACTTAACATATAAGATTGGCAAACATACCTTAGAGACTGTTTTTCTTCACACAGATCTTGGTCTGACATTAATGACCGGCTCACCTGAATTCAGAACATAACCTCTAAGGCAAAGCGGTTGCTATATATGATGGAAAGATCATTTAGCAGTTGCACCGTTAGTAGGTACCTGCTTGTACACAACTTTCCTACGACCCCTACTGGAGTTTGCTGCTCCGGTATGGGATTCAAACCTTGTTCGAGATAGCAGCTTATTAGAGGCCGTTCAGCGTCGTGCTACACGTATGCCTTATCGCACACGTAAGCCGAGTTATGAAGACCGCCTTGAGTTATATAACCTGCCTGCTTTTGCTGATAGAAGAATGCGATGAGATCTCATCATCACTTTCAGAGCACTGCATAATTTGTTTGGTGTGGACATGTCGCATCTGTTTCGCCTGGCAACGAACAATCTAAGAGGCCATAACTTTAAATTGCAGAAGGAAGCTTTTAGAACCTCTACTCGTCAGCGCTTTATCTCAAACCGTGTCTTCGATGCATGGAACAGTCTTCCATCTTATGTAGTGAACTCGGCATCCGTCAACAGTTTCAAAAACAATTATGATAGACACCGTAGTGCTTAACATATTGTTCCCATTCTGTATATGTCTACTTCAGAAGTGCTAAGATTGTTAAATTGTTATATTTCTTTTGTCTGTACACTATTATCTATTATGTGTTTGAGTTTATAGTACTTGTACTCAACTCAAATTTGTTGTTTAATAGCAATAATAATAATAATAATCCCATCTCACTACAGCATTACTTAAACAATATCCGAGTTTTCACACATTCTTTCATTATAAGCTTTTGGACAAGAAAACGAAAGTAGGAAGATATCCTGTTTAAAAGTGACATAGTATTTCTTAATGTAACTTCCGCAGCTTTTATGTTCATAAGATTTCAAATCAAACCACATATGTCTTAATTTCTGTTTATTGTACGACCACCTCGGTGGTCTTTTTCAAGTACAAGAATAATGGCAGTATGTTTTGTTTATCTGTCTTCCAGGTCACACTATCATTGTTCTTGAAAAAGACCGCCGTGGTGGTCAAAACATCATATATACGTAATAACCAGGAATTTAAACATGTGTGGTTTGATTCGGGCAAACAATGCATTGCTGTAGAACTTTTTTGTTTTTATTTTCAGACACTCGAAGCTGCACCACATGCGACAAAGTTCTGGAGGAGCTGGAACAAATCGACGACGAGACCGACTCGTTCGGTGTCGACTTTGTAAAAATAAATGACAAACGACTGGCCAAACAGTATGGCATCAATAAGTTTCCTGCGCTTACATATTTTAGGGAAAAGCACCCCATCATCTACGAAGGCAAGTATAATTTTTTAGGAAATGTTTATCTCAGATATTTAGTACATCTTGCTCTGGTATACATTTTTACCAAAAAAACGTACACTATCGCGATGGTCAGCAGTTAAATTTGTGCTGAATCGTCGCGCACAGAACCACACCCAAAACGGACAGTATCAGAATCCCGACCATTGCAGGTGCCACGTACTCAGCTTTCTTGCTGAACATTTAAGAAAATAAATAGAGTAGCCTTCCAGTTTAGCATAACGTTTTGATGACACGTTATGCTAAACGTACGTCACTGTACTTACGGTATACTCCAAAAATGAAACTGTAGATTTTCTTCAAAGGATCAGGATCTATAAGCGGAGTTTTTGGCCTTGAAATAAATGTTAGCATTTACTTATTTTAAAACAAATGCTTTTTTTTTTCATTTTAGAACGTGATTGTTATCCAAGAACCTATAGCGCATGGTCGAAACACTTTCTACTTAAAAATTGTAATAAGATCTCAATTTTTGCATATATACTTTTTTATTTTTATAGGTATATTTTTTTGTCTCAGTGTATTTTATTAAGCCCTGGTACCTTTCAGGGTAAGGTTCTATGGACTTCACGTTTCTGGTTCCTGGTTCTACAGAAGTTCTGATTTCTATAATTCGTTATCAATAAAAATGTTAACGATACGAGACACTATCATGTTTCTCAGTGGAACCCAAATTAATGTTATAGAGATTGTCATGAACGAAATGGTTTCATTCAAACTCCGCAAGAATATGTATAATACCTCAAGTCGATTTAAGATAAAAATTACATCATATTACGTAAAAACCCCATCACTATGTTTAACACTCTCAGATTCTAGGTTGCAACCCTTGAATTTTAAATCAGAAGTAGCAGTTTGTGACGTAGCAGAGAATTTGTTTATGGTTTATTCAACAGCTATTGCCTTTAGGTTGATTGTAAAAAATCATCTCTCAAAAAATTCAATTTACTAATTGATAAATCCATCACAACACATCACAGTATTCAAGTCACACTTTGATATTTATATATCGTCTAGAATCAAGTATGTTACTTATTGAGTTCCAAGTACGCAGATGTGGGTTTCTTCAGTCAAACTGAACTTTTCCGAAATTGACATCTTTCGGTATTTTTGTCAAGTATGCGTGATAATTGATATAACGAATGTATTCTATTTTTCTGTACAAAAATTATTAAGAAATACAACTTTTTAATAATAGATAACATTAATTTACATTCATGCATTTTTTGGTAGTAAAAATTGTAGAGCTTGATATAATTATAATACTTCTCGCAATTCTACCAGTCTGTCCCAAATAGGTACAGCTTTTTATATATGTTTTCCATAAAGTGACAAAGCAACGTATGAGAACATATCAAAGTGCAGCATAAAATCTGGTTTAACATTTGCAGGTGACTTGATGGACGAAGACAGTGTATTAGACTTCTTAACAAGTTTAGAAGCGATGGATCTACCAGATCGTATAGAAGAAGTGAACGCAAGAATTTTAGATAAAATCGTGCAAGAAACTGACTTCGTTGCTGTCCTGTTCTGTAAGTATATTAAGACTGGAGATTGTGCTATAGGTATATAGAGAAATAATTAATTGAAGTCATAGTTGCTCATAAAAGAGGTATCTCTATTTTTCATTTTCATTTGTTTGGTTGGTTTCTTTATTGGGGTTCTTAAACCACAATTTTCGCAACGTGTCGGTCCCAACGGATAACTCAATTGTTTATAATCCTTGTATTCCGATAAGGGTATATTATCCTCATAAAAATGTTTACTTCTGATATATGCTTCGGTTTTATAACCAAGTTTTCAATGATTCGTATCCATTATTTAGTATTTTTGGAGATTCAATCGAAAGTGTTGAGAAACGAAAAAACTCTTTATATAAGATTTTTAGGTATTTATGAGACCTACAAAATGAGACTACCCGTGAAGATATCCGACTCATAGCAAAAATGTTATGGCCGAAAAACGAGGCAAAATGCAGGATTTGGCACTTGTTGGTAATGCGACGATAATTTCACGCAAGTACTTGAAATTCAAATCCGTAGGATTCATACTTACTAACATAAACAAAATTGGAGTATATTGGTCAAGTAGTTTTTTGAGAATTTCTAATTGCTTATCCCAAACTCTTGTTTACCATTTTATTGAGCAATATACAGGGTTCGTTCAAAGAGCATTTAATAGTTAAATACACGTGTTTACCTTGCCGATATGAATCACAAACCATTCCGGAAGATAAATATTTTTATTATTAAAGGTTACGTTTTTTTCTTCTAAGCAAATTCAAACATTTCATATTTGTGAGTAATTGAACAAAAGCGCTACGATATTCGAAAAACATACAAAGCAAATGTGTCTGTCATCTTTTGTTGCGAATTACTCACAAATACGAAGTGTTTGAATTTGTTTAGAGGAAAAACCGTAACCCATCCTTTTTTGCATAAAAATAACATTTATCTTCCGGTTCATATCAGCAAGGTGAACTAGTGTATTTTGCTATTAAATGCTCTTTGACCTAACATATTGCTCAATAAACTAGTAGTGATGGCCGGAAACAGGTGTTTTGGTATAAACAATTAGACATTCTCAAAAACTACTTCACCGATCTTCTCCAATTTTGTTGTGGTTATTTAGAAGTACGAATCCTATAAATCTGAAGAATTTCTAATATCTGTTAGAAACCATCGTCGCATTAATAACAAGTGCCAAAACCTGCAGTTTGCCTCGGTTTTTACTTTTAGTCGGATCTTTTCATCATTTTGTAGGACTCAGAAATACCTAAAAATCATATATGAAGAGCTTTTTCGTGATGCTAACAATTTCGATTGAATCCCAAAAAAAATCACGTTTTCTCATTCTTTGTTGACGAATAAAAAGTTTTCCCAAAAATTGGAGTACCCATTTTATGCGTCCTTGTTTTAAACATCCCCTTGAACAATTTGCAGCAATAAAACCAGACTTTACAATTATTTCGCAAACTAGGGGTATTTTTGTCTAACATGATTAGACTATTTTGGGCTATATGGGACAACTAGACTTGCCAATTTCATATCTTTTCAGCAATATACTAATTTAGTTTTGGTTGGTACTCCTTACCCTTAAAGTAAGAAAGTACATTCAATCTCTACTCTATTGGTCCGTCACCACTCATTTGGGTATCAGCATGGATATCAGGAATTGCTCTCATACCTGTTCTTTATAGAAACCCATGACTAGATTCTTATAATCCAGAAATAATAAGATTAATTTCAGTGAGGAAGTAGTAGATGGTTAAAGGTGATAGATTTATTCTCTGTATACTGGTAGCCCAACCTACATTGATGTTGTACGTGCAATCATAATAAACAAAACGTCATGTATGTGTATCATCAGCTTGTTGTAATAAGTGAATAATGAATCTCGTAGGTCCAGATACAGAGAGATGCGCCAAAGCTGGAGTGAGTAAGTAGTTATTTTTCCGTAGTAAATTTGGACCCTAACTTGCATCAGTAGAATTTGACATATCACGATCATTTATACAATAATTTTGCTATAGTACATTGCACAATGCACATGCACGTTTTCGCATTTACAATAGCGTTATGGTTGCTTTGGCTTATTTCTGCATTTATTTTATTTTACTTGGCTTTTATGAAAATCGTCGCATTAGTTTATATATATTTTCCCAATTAGAAAAGTGAGAAGCATCTCGCCAAGCATTTTACAGAGCTAATTGAAAGCTTCGGTAATCACAAATACTGAATACGAGTATGACAACGTTAACGCCTACGTATACGTTATGTGAGCGCATATCGGCAAGAACATGAAAAAAGAATCTGAGGAAATGGGCTAGCTCGAGATTTTTCACCTGGAACATATTGACCTCATCAATCGCCAGATCAGATTTCTCACACTACCATCGACCAGCACCCAGAGAATCTCTGAGAACATCATTTTAGCAAGCTTAGTCGTGACAATACAGACATTGGGTAACGGATTCAAATGCAAGCCTCCTTGTTGCCACAATAAAATTTAGATAAAACATCTTTCGAAGGTTCTTGCTACTCGGCTACATTAATTTTAAGTGGTTAGTAGCAGACCCATCCAACTGGCACAGTACGGAGACACTATCGGTTCCAGCCCAAGCTTGAAAAAGACTCTAAAGCGTTTCGCGCTCATGAAGGACCAACTCTATTCTTCCTCCTCAGTTCATACAGTTGAGGTCTCCAACATAACAATCTTTTTGTATAGGTGTCATTTTAGCTCTCTTCTTCCTGTTCGTATCCCAGTTCAAAAGCATGGCTCTAAGTTAATACTCCTTATTGTTGTAACTATTCCTTGACCTGACAGTTTATTGTGTTTTTTGGTAGTCCCAAGAAAAGTGCAGGGCCCACATGCAATATTAATTACATGATCAAACGAACTTACCTGTAAGTGATGTTCGATCTTAATTATGTGTAGGCCTCTTCGAAATAAATAGAATAGCCAGCCAAACCCATGAATTCAACGCGCGAACGCAGCCAAGAAAAGCAGCTAACCATGCCCTAGTTCATAGATGGACTAATGATTTTCAGCAGGGGCAGAGTGTTGAACCGGTCGTCATGTGAATGGCAATTGAACCCTCGAATCCGACTCAGGACTATAACACCATTCATATGCCATTGATGATGAATATGGGCCAGTTTCCCTTCTGATCTACGTACTTCATTTGCAATAATCGGTGATGGCTGATGCTGTCAGTACATTGTCCGGAATTTTGACCTTCACTTGATGCCCATATTTATCTGATTTCTATTTAGAATTGACTTGTTTGGTCAGACTTACTCCGAACAGCAAGTTATCAATGGAAGCCTCAGTTAGAGTACTCCTGACTTCCTGAGCTTTTTTTAAATCACTTCCAAGAAAAATTGTTTACTTTCCCGATTGAAAGTTACAAATTCATTACAAGTCATTAATACTCTAGTAGGTATTATGATAGGCGAGAAATGTACTTAATCCATCGGATGTATCGGATGTAATTAACTTCAAATCAACTTGGATAAGAGGTATTACTAAGCCAGCTATTTATTTCTTTACAATTACTTCCTTCATTATCCAAATTAAATGGAGGCAGTTTGTAACTGATTCAATTAAAATGAAATTATTTCTACGATTTGTATCAGATTGTTGGAAAGGTAATAAGCCACAAAACTTTTTATACAGTTGAGTTCCACACAAGTCTTTTTTGTAATAAAATTTTTAATCTCAATTTTTTTATTCACTCCGCACAGTTTTACGACTTTGGAATGTCATTTTTTGAGAGCATTGATTCTGATTAAGCATCTCGATATTTATTCTGGGACAAAATACACCCTTGCATAAAACACATGTTTAAATTTTAAAAAAAATGGTGTGTGTGTGTGTGAAAAAAATACAGCGACGAAATTTCCTATCCTGGGCAGATAGATCACTGCCCAATTACTACTCGTATATGCATAATAGATTATGTTTTCAAGCCCTCTGCGTTATCCTATTTTATTTATTGATTGATTACATCTGTTTATGTCCCTATGTTATTGTCAGTAGCTGTTTTGCCAAGAGCTGAGCTACCTTAGATCCATGAAGCAATTCAGTAACAGTGGAAAAGCTTCCTTACAGCCCTTACCAATCTAATTTTATCTATTGAAATGAACCATTCCACTTGCTTGTTTGCTCTCTCAGCTTTTAGCAGGTCTTATTAATTTGATTGTTACTATGACAGACAAACCGGAGTGTAAGAAATGCTCGAAAGTCCTTTTGGAATTGGAAAACATTGACGATGAAGCAGATCAACTGGGTATTGGATTCGTGAAGATAAACGACGAGGAACTAGCTGAAGAATACAACCTGGGATCATTGCCTGCATTAGTATATTATAGGCATCAGACTCCAATTATCTACGAAGGTATGAAATTATAACAGTAATACGCTGAGAACTCAAACAATTATAAACTTTTGATTTTGATAATTATCTTGTATCTACGTGTCAAAAACTCCAATAATGATCTAGAGATATTGCAACAGACGTAAGGACAGGTCATCAAATATGTCATATTACTATAGTCAAACAGCTACAAAGAAACAATGGATAGAAGAAAGAAAACTATTACCGAAACATGGTTTCAAATGCTGATTAAATGTTTTGACTTTCTATTGAAATAAAACTGACGTTCGGAAGCTCGCGACTCGAACATTGTAAGCTTGGATTTTTTTAATATTCTGTTCCACGGCCAAAGTTGTGAATGTTGTATAATTCAAAGATAATAACGTTGAAGGTTGCTTATTTTTCAGGTGATCTATCTAGAGAAGAAGACGTGTTAGAATGGTTAGTGCAACACAAGAGCACCGGCGATGAAGATGACATCATTGAAGATGTTACTCTCAAGACTCTCTCAACGCTTATATCCAGTGTGGATAATCTAGCAGTTTTATTTTGTAAGAATATCGAACAAACATGCATTGCCTTTGTTCAAAATTCTTTTCTAATTTTCACTCGAATCAATTTTGCTACTTGTGGTTGTGTATCAAAATCCTAATCACCCTCACAATAAAAATAATACTCCAAGTCGGAAAAAATATAATTTAAAATAACACAAAATATATTATGGTGTCTAAAAAATAAAGTGGATGATTGAGCGCAAAAAAGCGGCAATGTTAATGTACTTTTTATTTTAAACTCATATCTCAAATAAAACTAGGAAAAAATTAAGCTATTTTGGGAAATTCGATTTCTTTTGTCTACCTCCGACTATTCTCGGAGTTGCCAAACTCTCCATTTTCTTAGCTTCCTTCATGCGCAAATTTGCCCCCATTTAAGAGACTTCGGGTCTCTTACGAAGATCCCAATGGTCAGAGTATAGTGTGAAACACTCAGTACATGACTTCAAGAAGGTCGCATACATAATTAGCAAAATCTAGCATAGCCGTAAATATTTTGAATTGCTAGTGTCGAAAAATCACATAGCATTTTCTAAATTAGATTGGCTAATTTAATATTATCTCAATTGTGAATCGTTTTCCAGACGACCACGATGACGATTATTCACTTCAAGTACTGGACGAGCTGGAGAACATCGATGATGATTGCGACAAAAATGGCATCCAGTTCGTGAAGATCGACGATCCCCAGGCTATCATCGAGTATGGCCTGGAAAGCCTTCCAATAGTAGTGTACTTTGAAAGGGGCATTCCCAACGTATATGATGGAGACATAGAAGAAGAGGAAGACATCTTGGAATGGCTTGTGGAGCAACTGGAGAAGGACGAAATCGAAGATGTTACTGATGAGATGCTTGACAAGTTGATTGCCGAAGGAAAGAATTTGGCTGTGCTGTTTTGTAAGCATTTTTAATTCACAATCTCTACGACTTTTGGTATGGTGTAAGGAAAGCGTACAACTAGAAAAAGCAAGAGTTTATGGGACAAATAAATATCCATATGTTTTTTTTTATAAATATTCCAACTACCACGAAGGCCTAAAGCCTAAACACCCATTGGGTACCGTGGGGCTATAGGGGGATACAGGGGAAAGGGGGAACGCCACACGGACTCTTGCGAGGGAACACGTGTGCATGCAACATGCACGCATTCTGGCTTCGCCTACGAGATCCGCCGGGTGGTACCTCCGCGTTCGACAGTCAGAGACCGTCTACCACCTACGGGCAATCACAACATCCATAGCCAAGAGAAAAATTTCTCTTGGAACGGGATTCGAACCCGCACAGCGCACGACGACTGATCAGGAGACTACTGCGGCCACCGCTGCTGCCTATGAATAGGTGCATTTCCAGAGTCACCTAGCCTTAACCGAACTTAATCTAACGCCAAATGGAAAATATCTACTTCCTTGTGTCAAATTAGATATAGTTAAATTAGGTGTAGTTGGGTGATTTTATAAGCTCGACATATAGTAGAAAGACCTCAGGCGACAATGCAGCAGTGCACCGTACCTCACAAGTATGCGTGTCTGAATTCAGAATCAACATCATCTGATCGATATTACAAACCTCTCAGCATGAGCAGTAATTGTCTCTATATATCCTATCTCTTGGGCTTATGCGAATTTCTGAGTCTGACAGTCTAGTTTGACAAAGTATAACATGAATCCCTCCTCAATAAATAAATCAAAACTATCTTCACCTATGAAGAGAGCATATAACAGCTTTGTCCCGTATTGCACCGATGGGATGCTTAAAGTTAGGCTCAAGCAACTAAATCCAGCTTGTAACTTGATACGCTTCAAACGAGATCCTCTACAGAATGTTAGACCTTTCTATAAACAAACATATCAACATTGTAATCATGTTCTTGTGTATGGTGAGCAAATTCAAATACATCCGATGTTGCGTACTATGAATAAACTAGGGAAGTCACAAAAATTATTTATAGAAAATGTGGGTATATGGTGTTGAAAAATTATTAACGCAGCAATGATTTCAATTAAGAAGCCATTTAAGACTTCTTCGAAACGGAATGTCGTGAAATTCACAAATCAGCATCAGTAACTCCAGTCCTTTTTAACACGCTTTTATATTAGCGTGGTATGTATGTTTGTATGTATGTATGTATGTATGTATGTATGTATGTATGTAGTATGTATGTATGTATGTATGTATGTATGTATGTATGTATGTATGTATGTATGTAGTATGTATGTATGTATGTATGTATGTATGTATGTATGTATGTATGTATGTATGTATGTATGTATGATGTATGTATGTATGTATGTATGTATGTATGTATGTATGTATGTATGTATGTATGTATGTATGTATGTATGTATGTATGTATGTATGTATGTATGTATGTATGTATGTATGTATGTATGTATGTATGTATGTATGTATGTCTGTATGTATGTATGTATGTATGTATGTATGTATGTATGTATGTATGTATGTATGTATTGTATGATGTATGTATGTATGTATGTATGTATGTATGTATGTATGTATGTATGTATGTATGTATGTATGTATGTATGTATGTATGTATGTATGTATGTATGTATGTATGTATGTATGTATGTATGTATGTATGTATGTATGTATGTATGTATGTATGTATGTATGTATGTATGTAATGTATGTATGTATGTATGTATGTATGTATGTATGTATGTATGTATGTATGTATGTATGTATGTATGTATGTATGTATGTATGTATGTATGTATGTATGTATGTATGTATGTATGTGTATGTGTGTACGTACGTACGTTACGTACGTACGTACGTACGTACGTATGTATGTATGTATGTATGTATGTATGTATGTATGTATGTATGTATGTATGTATGTATGTATGTATGTATGTGTATATATATATGTATTTATGTAACGGAATCTTTGAGCGTAATTTTGTAAGTTTGATAGATTGAAACTTCGCACATGTATCAAGGCCGATGACAATGCAATAATTTGATAACAGTTTTCCATTATCTTTAGAAGGACTGCCAGGATTGATAAACTCTTTTATAGATCCTGTGTAGGGGAGTAAGAGAGATAGAGCTAACGCGCGATCTGCACATGCGTGCAGTTCGGACTTACTTGTTGTTGGTACGGGTACTCGGCACAGCACAACGGAGGCAGATACTTTTTCAATGTAGTGCACTCTCACCTTCTTCACTGCGAATGTTGCCATTAATCCTGAGTTGGGCTTCGACCGTCCACAAGATGCAAGGTTATACAGTCGATCATGCAGTCATTCATCTAGGCTCGCCACTGTTTGCAGCTGGACAAGCTTATGCAGCACTTAGCTGTGTAAGATCTTTAGACGGCATTCGGATTGAAGAACTTGATTGCTCTAAGTTAACAGGAAAGACATCATGCAACAGTAAAGCTTTAAATAAAATGATTAGGTTACGAAGTAATGCATAAGACATTTCAATACCACATGTCCACAAAAAACTAATTGATAAATCGAACTAAAAAATGAAAAATAAATAATAGTTTTAAAAAACAAAATAAAAACACGCTTTTATGGCTAACCGAATTAAAAAGTAGAAGATACTTTTTAATTACAAAGAGTTTATATTACACTAGAAGATGGTCGAACAATCAATCATACTTAATGACCTCAAAATAAAATTTGGTTTGACAGCACTGAGAGACTTGGTTTTAAGAGTGGGATGAATCCTGTTGTATAAATTCCCGATAGCATTAAATATTTATTAAATATGTTTAAAAAATGTTTGTTAGATATTTGTAGCGACAGATTTTTTAATATTTAATAAATATATTTCTTATATATTTATAAAATATTCATTACAGATGTTTGTAATATATACATATATATATATATATATATATATATATAATTCTTATATTTTTGCGATATTTTTTCCAAATATTTAGAAAATATATGAGGAAAGATTTTTAAATACCAATTTTATATTTTCATGAAATATCTAATATTTTTCGTAAATATGTATGGATTTTCAAGCATTAATCTGATACATATTTTCAGCGTTTATAGAAAATTCTTCATTGGTTATTTTAGCAAAACCTGTAGAAATGCTTATATAAAATTGGGTTTATAAAGAAAATTCATTCTAGATATAATAGTTTAATTTGCTAGAAAAATATTATTAAAAAAACCTTCTAAGCCTCTTCTGCATCTTGCCAGTCCACTTCTCTGAAAACAAAACTTACTAATTTTGAAGTTACACCGGTGAGTTACACCGAGTAGCTCAACTGGGTCACTGAAAAGCAGCTATATAATGCACCTAAAAGGACCCCCACATGTTATGCCTATGATAGTTCGAGGTTTGGTTAATTTTTGAGAAAATTTAGTATGTGATTTTAGATATCTTGATGAAAAATGTCCATGGGCACAACTTGGTCCTTTGACTAACACTTATTGATTTTGTTGAAATGTGACTTTTTTTAGTAAAGGAGCTAACTTAGCCATAACTATTTAGTGATTTTATATTATAATTCAAGGGATAAAGGTATAGTATTTTCGACTATTAAAATTTTTGAACGTACTACGACAAAAATAATAATAATAATTGAGATATATAAAAAGCATTTTTGATTTATCTCGATCAAGTTGGGATTATATGTCTTTTCATTGGGATGTTATGAACATAATTTTCGTATCCATTCTCAGATAAATCCACCAATACCAAATAACTGTTACAATTCAAGGCTATAGTTATTTATGAATACCTTTATACTCAGCTGGCACAATAATGTTTACTAGTCAGATAAATTAAGCTATGTAATTATCGAAAAACTTACCCTTTTCCCTTTTCCACAAAAATAAACACTCAAATAATGAACCACTTGGAGGTCCACAGGAAGCACGCTATCATAGTGAAAGTCACAGGTAAAATGGCTGCTGGCAAACAGGTCACCTCAGGCCGACTTGCTGTTATCCCATTGGTCGCTCGAGGTCACACGCACATGCCGTTAATGAATATTTCCTAAATATTGGAGATTCAATATTTTCCATTGATTGAAAAGTAAATATTTTGTGAATATTATAGAAGAAATATTGTATTTAAAATATTTAGAAGATATTGAATAAATATTTAATGAAAATATTATATTACAAATACTTATTAAATATCTGTTTAGGAAAACACAAATTTAATTAAGATAAAAATATTATTAAATATTAAATAAGTATTTAATGAATATTTCGTGCTATCGGGGATTAGATGATAGAGGTGAAAAGGTTGTTTTGTGTTTGGGAGCATCCTAAGTGCGGCCCACAAATCTCAAATTAATATTAAGGATGACAGTTCTCAAAAATCGCTTTTCATTCAAGTAGGTGGTTGTTTCTTTAGTAAGACCGAATTAACCAAACAGATCAGGTGATAAGTCCATCTTTGTCTCATCGTAAGCCAACTAATACTTTAGACTACACTACTTAGACCGTGAATATACCTTATGCAATAGTTTTGCACCTTTTGTATTCGTTGGACTTCCGTTTGAGTCAAACAAGGACCAGACATAGGGTGAGCATATTAAGACTTGCTATAAGGGAGTTAGTTAGTTTAATTTTGGTATCCTTTGACATTACATTTCTGAAATTATAAAAAGTTTTCAATTTTGCAAATGATGCTTGAACAATCTTAGTTACGAGTACATGTTCATCAAATGTGAGGTGCTCTTCAAAGTAGGTAAACTCCAAGATTGCGAACGCATTTCTTATGAACAAGATTCTCCCCGCATAGGTAATGTTTCACTGCACCATCACTATAGCTACAATGCTTTGACGCGAACGTTATAATTGCCAATTTTTTCGGATTTACCAACAGACCATGATGATGAAACCAGATAGCAATGTTGTTGAGATCATGCGAAAGTTGAAAATTTGCAACACCGACCTGGAAAGGTTATAAGACAGATACAGTTGCGTATTATCTGCATAAGAATGTGATGTTTCATGATTTACTACGGTAGTTACAGTATATACATTGACGGATAATGTCTCCAAAACATATATCATCTGCATAACTTCATTCCAGATGATGACGATGACCGCAAATCCACCAAAGTCCTAAACGAATTGGAGAACATCGACGACGAATGCGACAAGCTCGGCATCGTTTTCGTGAAAATCGACAACGAAGACGAAGCTAAAGAGTACGGCATCGAGAAAATTCCCTCGCTGGTGTACTTCGAGAAGGGTATCCCCACCCTTTACGAGGGCAACCTGGAGGACGAAGAAAAAGTGCTCAAGTGGCTGGAACACCAGCTAAAGAGCGATGAAATCGAAGATGTCACCGATGAAATGCTGGATATCATTTTGAGCAAAAAATCACATGTCGCCGTGTTGTTTTGTAAGTAATAAATTTAATATTGTGAGTGGTGTTATAGTCGCACCAAAACCTAGTTGTAGATAAGAATTTTTAATCATATTTAAGCCCCAACCAACTCGATGGAGTTGCAGTGCACATTCACCTAAATCAATATTTCTAAAAAAAGTTTGCCTGCATTTGCACCAACGTTTTAATCCTTTCGTAAAATTGCGCTTGGTTTGGTTTGTGAAGAAGGAATATGAATTTCGTTTGGACGCATAATGAACAATATTTTTTCTCAAATACTGAAGACCCACGGCTTTATACGTGGCGACTATATTTTTTTCATCATGGTTTTAATAGACGTACAAGTCGCAAGATATATAAATATGTGGGCAATAACTAAAAAATAAATACATACAGATGGCTCTCTTACGGAGAAACAAGCCTCGAGAGGAGCACTACTGGATGCCAGTTTCTAGAGTAACTTTGAAAATTCTGGCTACAGATTTGTAATCAAGACCTAAAAAAAGGAAGTCATTTGTCTAATCATTTGAACAGGTTGTAGATCGTTGGTCAAATTTTTGGAATTCGGCTCCTATGTGAGTCGATAAATCATTATTCCAAACAAACATTGCTCATTTTCTTGATATTAAACTCGAACTATTAGTCAGCTGAATGATCGAGCTCTCCCAGACTCATCATTGAGCTACTATTTATTATACAAGGCATGAAAACAAAGTGCAATATTGCGTTAGGGTTAGTCCATACTTGACAATCTGATAGAAATGTTGTTGCAATGAGGCCCAATCAATCACTACCCTGTCAAATCTTCGTTGAATTACACAGTGACGTTCAGAGAAACCAAAACCAATTTCAAAATGCGGCTTTAGAATCCTGTTATTTCTGTTTCCATATATAAACACATCTTTTTGTTTTCTATACATTCAAAATACTGAGCACATATTCTGGGAAACTATAGATACGATATATCCTTATATTGGATGCAATCTATAGAGTGGTCCATAATAAATTCTCCAAATATGCCTCAATAAAATATCGATTGTTAATGAGGTGTTGAAGTTTACATTTTAAAGTCGTTTTCCCCTATAACTCAAGCTGTTTTTGTTACACCAACCTCAACATTCTAAAACGCCAATTTCTAAGGATGACGAGGACGATTGTATTGTATTTTGCAACATAATATATAGAAGGCGCTAGTTAAAACCTATACTCTCGATATTTCCTGCCATAGCTTTTTTGCTAGTACCGCTTCATTTTTTTTTATCGAAATTGTGATAACTTGATAATTTTTATGTATATCTATTCCGATTAAGAAAACCTTTTCTGAGGTACTGACATTAACATACTATGTTGAGAAATACACTCGTGTTCCTGATCCTCAGACACACTCCATTTCTGATTTTTTTGATATCACAAAAACAGCTTGACCCATAGACAAAAAATGTTTTTGAAAATAAAACTCCAACGTTCTATACTATAATCTAATTTTGTCGCATTACTTCCATGATTACAATTACAAAATATACTATTGAAGATGTTATTTACCAAATATGATTATTCTTCAGTTTGTCAAATATTTCGTATTAATTACATTTCCTAAGCATAATAGCTGTAAATCAACTATAAGCTATTATGATGTTCACTTATCTGGTTTTTATGTAATAATTCGTTTATTTCTGAATAAGTATGCATCCGTTATAAATAAATAATTAATTTTGTCCTGGAAGACTAATTTTGATAATTAATCTTCGTTCAACTTGGATTATCACCAGAACAAATTAAAATTCTTATTTTATATCACTGCGTGTTTCCTTTGCAAAAATAGCATAATCAGATTATGAAAACTGCGGAAAAAGGCAGCAAATTTGCTCTTGCAAATTATAAAAGCAGTAAATCACATGTTTCTGCTTTTTGACTTACGACAATTACAGACGGAACTTCATTTATTTTAGGCCTCGACAACAACTGTGACGCGAAATCATATTCAGATGACTCTCTATAAAGTCATTAAGTAATGCCAGTATTCATTTACTTTTGTTCTGTCAAAATGATACAATTTACGAAAAACTCAAGAATTTTGAACTCAATTTCCTCAGACTTTGATTTCCACACTTTACTACCTTTTACCTAAGTATAATCCATTAACTTCTGACCGTTCAGCAAAACTCAATACCACTATTTTCAATATAGAATTGCTTTTTGGTGGATTAATTACGAAGCGCCCTGTTTGGAAAGTAATACATTGAATTGTTCTTACAGATGATAAAGGCCAGAAGAAGAGCCAGAAGGTACTAGTAGAGCTGGAAAACATCGACGACGAGTGCGACCAGAACAATATAGTTTTCGTAAAGATTGACAACAAAGAAGAAGCTAAAGAATACGGAATCGACTCTGTACCCACCTTGGTGTTGTTCGAAAAGCAGATACCTCACGTCTATGAAGGCGATCTTACAAACGAAGACGAGCTACTCGGATGGCTCATTCACCAGAAAAGGCACAGTGAGATCCCTGTCGTTACTGATGAGATGATGGACTCGTTAATAGAGTCACAGAAGTATTTAGCTGTTTTGTTTTGTAAGTACACGATTCAACCGTACATACATTTTAATCAGTCAATAGCCAAAAGGCCGAAAATTTAATGAAAATTTCTGTTGCAACCAATTCATGTTAAAAAAATATGATATGCGCCTAGTTGGTAAAGGACAAAAATTCGTCAAAAGATCGATGTGATGTAACATGTGAAACGTATCCTGTAGTTTTCATGTCAATAATCCCTCATGATTGTCCAGACAAGCATGAGGAATTATATTTAATCCTGTTTATCTATAATAGTCTTATTCCAATACTGTTTTTAAAATTATGATAACTCTGGCTACAGATTTGTAATCAAGACCTAAAAAAGCAAGTCATTTTTGAACATTTGAACAGGTTGTAGATCTTTGGTGAAATTCTTGGGATTTGGCTGCAATGTGAGTCGATAAATACATTATTACAACAAACATTGCTTGCTCATTTTGTAGATATTAAACACGGAACATTTTGCCTTACGGTACTGTTTCCAATTTATCGAAAGGTGACGTACACTTTAGTTTTCTAAATAGATTTTGCAGACCCTCGAAGACTTCCAAACGAATTCATGAGAAGTTTAGCTACAGTGTAATTTAAAATCATTGAAAAAACTTTTTCCACGTCTCCTATTTCTTTGGGTATGTCACACAAAGCGATACAGCAATATTTTTACTCAATATCACGGAACGCTAGAACAAGCTGTACCTCGTTTTAATTACGGAACATCATAGAACACATTTTACGTAAAATGATGAAATTAATAGTGAAAAGTAAAAAACCCTACTTCGTTTTACTACGTTTCTAATTTTCTAGTTGCTTTGAAAATATTGGTAGCTGACAAATTTTGAAAGCATGCATATCTCATATTTCACTTAGTTATAACCGGTGGTATCACTAGTAAGTCAATAGACTTGAATCTTTTTTTTTGTTCTGGTATGTGTTCAGATGACAAGGATGATAAAGAAGACATCAGAGTCTTGAACGAACTGGAAAACATAGACGACGATTTGGAAAAAGAAGGAATAGCCATTGTTAGGATAGATAACGATGCAGAGGCCAAGGAATATGGTATTGACCATCTACCAGCTCTTATATATTTCGAAGATAAAATCCCTTCCGTATATGAAGGAGACTTGATGAACGAAGATGAAGTTCTTCAGTGGTTGGTTGAACAAAAACAAACCGCTACCATAGAGGTTAGTATAATTGTCCAGGTGGTCCGGTCACCCTCGATATTTCGGAGCTTAAAAAAATTGCGCATTTTTCAATTTGCGTCAACCGCCTCTACCGTTCTTGAATTTTCAACATGGTATACCCCCCTGGAGACGGACATCCTCCTTGACATGAATCCTGAGCTACTACTCCCCTCCCCCCCCCCGAGAATTTTTATCATATAGTCCCCTCTGAAAATATTTTCCATACCGCCCATGTTCTACCAATAACACAATAACATGTCTTTTTCGTCAAAGGATACACAGGACTTTGATTTACTAGATACACAATTTGCTAACAGTCTCAGTTGTGTAGTTGTTTGATCAAACTTTTAGTTATTGACAAAATTGGACAGTTTTACTTTTTGAATCAGTACCATGCTTGTGGAACCAAATCAATGCTAATGTAGACTCTATAAACCATTATGTGTTCGACTTTCTGTCGTCATTTTTAAACTGACCAAGAAAAAAATCAAATCTGTTGAATAAGTTACTTAGCTGAAACATGAAATATCACGGTAACGTTTTCAATATAATGTAAAATAAATGTTGTACCGTTTTCCAGTCAGCGACTATTTGGGACAAATGGCTATGCTTTTGGGACCACTAATCTTTTGGAGCAATGTATTTCTATGTTGTTTCGGGAGTATTTTTAAAATCATTACTTTCTAGGAAGTCACCGATGAAATCCTAGATGATCTAATTCAAGAGCACGAGTACGTGGTGGTCTACTTCAGCGGGAACTGCGAAGAAGGCCAAAAATGCGATGACATCCTGGAAGAGTTGGAAAACATCGACGATGAACTCGATGAAAGCGGTATCATATTTGTGACCACCGAAGATTTAACCATGGCCAAGAAATACGGCATCAAAAGTTTCCCAAAACTGGTATTTTTCAGGAACAGAGAGCCACTGGTGTACGGGGGAGATATAGAAGATGAGGATGAGGTACTAGCTTGGTTGACGGATGAAGATACTTTAGAGATACCAGACAAGATAGAGGAGGTGAACAGCAAGATGTTGGACAAGATCCTTGGGGAAAATGAGCATGTGGTAGTTTATTTCTGTAAGTAGCAAGCGATAAGCCATTCCGCGATTGTTTTTATGTGGCATTGTCAATAGCATATATCAATATCAACATCAAAAATTAGATGATTTTCTACACTGAAGACCGCACAATTTTTGATTGTGTTCAGTAAATAATAATAAGATCGTGGGTTCTACGACCAATTGCCGATTATGATGAAGCAAGTTGAACGAATAAGTACATTTCTTCACGATGGTCGATTCATGATTTAGATGCAAGATGGGCGATTCGACTTCCCCGAGGTCTTCGCTTTGCCCGGGTTTCCCCTCTATACCTGAAAAATATTAAAACATGCAAGATTAAAACATGTGGCATGTTAAGTCTAGTTTTTCGGGCTTGTTTCATCATTATTTTAACTGTGAAGGTTATTCGAAATTCAAATATTTTGGAACACAAATATCACGTTAAGCTCAAAAAATAACTGGTTTATTTGTCAGTGACACAATTTTATTGCCTCCTGGAAAATTCAAATTGTCCCACCTCAAAAACTAGATGATTATCTATAGTCAATAAACTAATGACTTTCACAATAAAATTTTGTTTTATATTTTGCAGATAAAGAAGGTGACAAAAAATCCCAAAAGATCCTCCAGGAACTGGAGAACATCGACGATGAATGTGAAGACAAAGATATCGATTTTGTGAAAATTTCCGATGAAGGCATTGAAAAAGAATACGACCTTCCGTCCTTACCAACGGTGGCGTTCTATAGAAACAGATTCAGAGAAATCTACCCTGGGGATCTTATGCAGGAAGAAGCTATTTTGGAGTGGATACTGGACCTTCGAGACTCCGAGCCTGATATTATTGAAAATGTGGACAGGAAAACTTTGCAGGTAGGATTTTAAAACGTTAATTATTTCAGGGCGCTCAGATTTTTACTTTTGACACTAGCATAACTTACGATTGGTTCTTTTAAGTAGACTTCCATATGATAGTCATTTCGAAGGTCATTACAAACCGACAGCTAATTTTCCTTTTGGTCGTAAGTATTGCTTTTCTTTGCTCCAACCTTCTTCTTTCCGAAAGAGCATGTCTGAGCAATTATTGCCGTTCTCATTGTCCGCACCGAGCTGTACTAAGCTCATACAGGGTGATTCACAAGTGGTGACCAAAAATGAAACATCATACGCAGGATCGCATTTTAAGGGGGGTCTTCCATGTAACATTTTCTCCTCGAGGACTTTATTAAAAAGAAACGGGATGTTGAAGTTTAAAAATAAAAAACTTTTTTTTAATATCTTCAAAACCGTCACCTGGAATGAACTAAAATTTGGTATATGAAAAAAAGTGGCGTTTTCGGGATGATGGACGAGGGTGACGTGTCTGGTACATTAAAAAAACGACAGATAACATTAGGTTTTACATGTAGAGAATATGAATAGGAAGATGAGACAGTCACTTGCCTTGCGTCTGTCCAGATGTCTATCAATCCGAACATTTATTCTGAGGGAACATTGGCCTTCTATAACTAGGATAAGGGAAACTCCGATAGGTCGCATCACCACCTTCTTTAATAAATTGAGGTGGCTGACGATCCAGACCTGAGTTACGTCTAGAGAAAACGTATAAGCGGACCAATGGGGCCTAGGTGGTGTTTATCTTGTTGGATTGCAGTTCCTTCTATACAGAATATAGAATACAGGGATGAGAAACGAAATATAGACTGGAAGTGAGATAAACACATAATGTCATCAGAATTGTCATTTTTACTTGAAAAAGGCCAATGTGGTGGCAGTAAACAATATTTCAAGGACATGTGGTTTCATGTAGCGGCCAGACAGACATGGAGGATTGTCAGCATGAAAACACGAATTTATTGACATTTTCAATTTGCAAGATTCGGGGCTATCCAGCTCTCCTATTGTACTTTTCCTGACGTTGAAATAGCCTTTGTAGGAGATAAACCTACTCGTAGTACAATAGAAACGTTCTAAAAAACTATATAAACATGATAGTTTTGTCACATACGTAGGAGCGTGTCATATTCGAAATCTTCAAATCTGATTAATGTAAAGGGTGTCTCAATTAGAGCGCCGGATTTTATTTACAAGAAAAACACAATTTCTTTTCGAATTAAGCGAGTATTTATATTTCAACATGAAGAGGAATAGTTGCGATTAAACATGAAATAGGACATCCGGTAAATGGCCATATCTCTGGCACAGGGTCAGTCTTTTCTTAAAATGCTGGATAACGTTTTCGCACAACTGTGGCTCTATGTCGTCGATAATGCGCCGTATCTCTTCTTCAACTGTTTGTCTCTTGTTCACATACACTTTTTCCTTCACATATTCCCAGAGGAGGAAGTCAATTGGCGTTAGATCGCAAGATTTTGGTAGCCAATTTTGATCGTCAAACCGAGAGATGACACGGTCTGGAAACTTGGTCCGCAGCAACACCATTTTTTTGCGTTCTGTGTGGCAGGTCGCACCGACTTGTTGAACATATCCTCCACATCAATTCGATCCAGCTGGGGCCACAAAAACTCGATTACCATTTCGCGTTACCGCACACCATTAACAGTTACCGCAGTTCCAGCTGCATTTTTGAAGAAATACATCCAATCACTCCACCACTCCACAATGCGCACCAAACGGTAACTCGCGGTGGATGCATTGGTTGTTCGATTATTACACGAGGGTTTTCAGAACTTCAAACTTGGCATTTCTGCTTATTGACGTACCCGCCGTTCAGTTGAAAAACGTGCCTCATAAGATAAAACCTTCTTCGAGAAATCCGCATCAATTTGGTGGTGCTCCAGCGCGTAATTTTCTCCATTTTTGTAGTGAGTTTTCACAATAATCAAACGTTGCTCGTTTGAATACTGCTCGATGATGTCTAATTGCGTGGTTTAGACATGACGGCTGTCGTCAAGTAAACACGATACCATTTGTCGCAGATTGTTTCTAAGTCATGAGTATAATTTTGCCTTGAGACCTTGGTGTATCTGTTACTAGTAAAGATTACTTATTTAAAAAACAGTGCTATCTAAAGGAACGTCCAAACTTTGATAATATGCCGTGTTGTGTCAATCAAACACCGACCAGAATAACCGCTTCTTCACTCTCTCATCACAGGAAACCTTTCTTGACTGTACTATTTTTGACAAATTCAACATTCGTCATCAACTCTCTTACTTCTTTATAGCATCCTGTTCTTCAGGCTTTGCCACTACATATATCTATTCAAGTATAAAACATAACTTTTAGGTATTAATCAACGACGTGAACCATCTTGCCGTCCTCTTCTACACCGATGACTGCGAAGAATGCGAAGAAGTTCTGGAAGAGCTGGAAACCATCGACGACGAAACTGATGAGCATGGCATTCAGTTTGTCAAGTCAAAGGATGCAAAACTGGCCTCGGAAATTGGCATTTTCAGTTTCCCAGCTTTGGTCTACTATGAAACGGGCGTACCCATTATGTACGATGGTAAGGTGGCGGTAGATAACGTTCAATAGCGTTTTGCACTAGGTGAAGGAATTTGTCAGAAGGTGATATGGAAACAGAGCTCAAAACAAAATTTGCGAAGACAAACGTGAAAACTTCCTGCTACAAGTCGCCTGGATGCACTATACAGGGTGTCGCAGAAATAACACGCCAGAGTGACACGGGAGGTAGATTGGCTTCACATCAATCAGATAAAATCACCATGACCTTAGTAAAAGTTTTCTAGTTTTCGAGATGTTGCCACTTGTAAGCTTTACCAAAAAATCCCTAGTGTTTGCTCCTTCTTTGCCTGTTATCACTTTAAAGAACTCATGACTAATGTTTTTTTCCTGGGCTACCACTACTAGTTGGATGAGACCACCAAGTATTCATTTCATTGAAAACTAGTACTTTATGCTAAAAAAATATTACTTTTTGTTTCATTGTGAATACCTTTACTGAAGTCTGACTAATTGGTGTAAAAAAATGTACCAGACTGCAACTGCAAATTATCTTAAAAACTAGCCTATTTAATGCTCTTATAAAAAAAGTATAACATTTGTAGGTCTTTATACTAAAAATTAAATAATTCCAAGTTTTGTCATTGAAGTCGTAATAGTTGCGAAATACTACAAATAAAAAATAATAAGTGCAGCCGTTTTTTGTATCCAAATCACTAAGGAATGAAATTACCTAAACATGTCATTGACTATCTCGCTCTCACATTTATTGTTCGGTTGGTAGCATTAAGTCACCTCGAGGAACAGAGGTGGTACCTGCGCACCGCACGCGCACGGTTTATTTAGTACGACTCCTTGTGTTTAGTACTTCACACATGTTATTTAGCTCTTTCACTGTTAAGGTCATTCCTCAGTGATTTGGATACAAAAGCCTGCTGCACTTGTTATTTTTTATTGTAGTATTTCGCAACTATTACGACTTCAATGGCAACACTTGGAATTATTCAATTTTCAGTAGAGTGAACCTACAAATGTTATACTATGTTCAAAAGAACACCAAATAGGCCGTTTAAGTCTGGTAAATTTTTTTCAGAGTAATCAGTCAAACTTTATTAAAGGTTTTCACATTGAAAAAAAAATATTTTATTCTTTTTTTAGCATACCGTGCTAGTTTTCAATGAAATGAATACTCGGTTGTCTCATCCAAGTATCAATGGTAGCCCAGGAAAAAATCATAAGTTAAAAGTTCTTTATAGCAATAACAGGGAAAAAAACGAGTGATTCTTTAAAAAAACCTAAAAATGACAATATCCTGAAAATAGAAAACTTTTACTAAGATCATGTTGATTTTATCTGATTGATCTGAAACCAATCTACCTCCCGTGTCACTAAGGTATGTTATTTCTGGGACACCCTGTATAGGTATCACTGTAATAATATAGCGGGTTGGCTGATAAATAATGAGCGACAAACTTAACTTTAAAATTTTATTTATTTATTTGTAGAATAATACTAATAATTCAATGCCAATATGATCACCCCCATTATCTACTACTTTTCACCAGCAATTAGGCAAAAAGTGGGTGGCATTCCTGTGAAGCTCCCCCGGTTTGGATTTGAAGCAGCCATCTATGTAGATACTGATGTAACTGCGGTTTATCATTAAAGCTTGTTTCCTGCAAATAATTATAGAGTAATGTTAATACTAAGCAAAAATCGGGCAAGGCTAAGTTCGGCGACTATGGAGGAGATGTACTATTACCCAGCTCAGCGCTAGTAGCTTTTATCCAGTAGACTCAGCAATATTTTGTCCCCTTGTGAACGCTTACGACCACTGGCGGATTTAGAGGGGGGCGCGAGGGCGTGCGCCCCCCTAGACGTCTGACATTTGCTTTTGCAATCTAACACCATTGCGTTACTTTCTGTCATGGCTATATCTATTGATATTTTTATCACCTGCTGATATAATAGACGTGCTTGATTGTGTCAGTATTTGCACCATTTACTTGATTTGTTTAATGTACAGTTCAGAGTCTTAATCTTTAAGCTTACTACATACTACTGACTTGTCTTGTCTAGCGTCGATACGATAATGAGAATTTTTTGATCTCATGTTCGTTTTCGCAATCAAAGACATTGTTTTGCGTGGAATGGACTGGGATATGTCTCGGGGTCCCTCAGGATGTTTAATTTATTTTTTATGTTTGAATCTTTAATATTATTATACTAGTTAATTATAAATGCCACGTACTTATTTTGTTCTCATATAATAAAATATTGGCTTTCTGACGATTTCTGAGCAATCTCCATGTTCTTTTTTCAAGCTGGCCTTGACCAGATAGAACACAATGGATTTAAGGAGCAATAATAGGATAAATTCTAGAAGTTCAACTGAGGTTAAAAAATGACCAGCCCCAAATATCGTTACTTCATGCACATCCCACCACACCGAGAGTAGCACCTTGCAAGGATGATCTCTTTTTGATTTAGATTTGCCTGGGTTGTTGAGACCCAGCCACTGTCGCTTGCATGTATGTATATAGATAACCCAATTTTCGCCTTAGCCAGTTAAATGTACGGTGAAACGATAAAAGATGTACATAGATCGACAGATCTCTGCTCGATAAGAATGTTAATCTCAAAGGAACTGATAGGTCACCCAAAGAAACTTATAAGTCTTCACTAGGGCTTGCAAATGATTTCTTTTCGTGCCATCAGAGCAACCGAGCTCTGCAGCATAATCACTCGCACTGCTTCGAGGATCTTTCTTAATTGATGTCCTAAGTTCATTCATTTTTGTTTCCACTAGACGCCTAGGCCGGATTGATCTGTCAAGGAATAGCCACCGCAGCGGAATCGTTGGAGCCATCACTTTGCTCTAGCCTCAGAAATTGCGTCATGAGCTACGCTTTGGCATACTTTACATGCACCTTCTGCAGCAGAATGCCTAGATTAGTACTTATATGGTAAACAGTGCCGGCGTTTTAATATCATGCATCTTTTCGTTCTACTTTACGCAATGACAGATGAGCATGATCGCGACTCGTTCTATACAGGGTGTTCCAGATGCAGGTAAAGATACTGAGTTAAGATTTTAAACGTTTAGTGAGCATAACATGAGCAATCACAGCGTTTTCTGGACTAAACTAAACCACGGACATAGGATCTGGGTTACCTGGTCCAATAGCAGGTAATAGTTTCTACGCCACTGGCCTTTTTATAAAATACAATTAATTTTCCATAAATTTTGTATTATAAGAACATTTTTGGAGATATTTAGGTTTGAAGATTTGAGGTAAAATCCTAAAACATTCTTATAAACAGGTTTAGCCACCCCTATTCTAAAAACACCGTGAAGCTTGATGTTGTAAACACTGTATGGCATGTAAGGGAAGCTATGTAACCTCATTACAACATTATTTGAATAATATGACGTAATATCCTCAATTAGTAGCGTATAAACTTACTATTCACTAAACCTTTCCGGTGCACTCCACAGGTGTTGCCGGCATATTCATTTATGTTTATAACTTCAAAACAATGAAAAACGCTTATTTCAGCAATAATTAGATAAAGCCAATAAGAATTAAACACTACAACATAACGTTTGATACAACTTACGTCGTTATTTATAAATTTATGAGGACATAACATTGGGAACAAAAAATGTTATAACATCCAACAGCTAACGATTTGTGAGATCTTCTTTGTTGGGCTCACTTAATTCGAAATGCTAAGGAATTTTGAGAAAAAAGGCCGATAGCCGAAGTAAAATGATAAGAATTTTACTAAAATTGATTGGTTCCACAATTACGAGTTGTGATTTTAGACAAACATAAAAATCTAGCAAGGTTAATACTAGGAGAAATATACCATGAACACCAGTGGAGTGCAAAGACAAGGTTTAAGGAATGGTAAGCTTCTACGCTACTGATTGAGGATAATACATGCATATTATTCAATTAATGTTATAATGAGTTGCCACAGCTTTCTTCACATGCCATATAGTGTTTCCAATATCAAGCATCACGCTGTTTTCAGAATAGGACAGGCTAAACCTTTTCATAAGAATATTTTCAGATTTCATCTCAAATGTTCAAGCCTAAGTATCTCCAAAATGAGTAATCTGACAAAATTAATGGAAAATTGGTATTTTATGCAATATACTTCTTTTCTCAGAAAAGGCCAGTGGCGTAACGAGTATTCCTGTTATGGGTCCACGTACCCCAGTTTCTACGTCCATGGTTTAGTTTGGACCGGAAACTCAGTGTGTTTATTGCTGATGATGTGCTCACTGAACGTGTAAAATCCTAACTCAGTATCTTCACCCGCTCGGTAGATATATTTTTTCAATTTCGTAAATAAAACTTCATCACCCTGTATCTCGGCAGGGGAGCATCTTTTCACCCATATTTATAGGATTTTTTTTTTATTTTTGGATATAATTTCAAACCTATAGATATTAGCCGTCTTTCTGAAACATCCTGTATATTCCCCCACGATAGAACATTCTACTCAGATTTTCTAGAAAATAAAAACTGTAGCGCACATTATATACAAGCCAACCCGATACAAGGTGTCCCAAGAAGAACTGTGGCGATCGATTCTTCGACCTGCATTTATCACTTATATGGTATAAGTTGAAGTATCTCAAAAATCGTTAGTTAAATTCCGTTATAGGACGACATTCATGAAAAGCGTTTAGAACCCCGCGAACAACTCAAAGATCGAAAAATATTGAGTGAATCCCATTTAAAGTATGCAAGTTGATATCTACATTCTGAACAACCGGAGGTGTCACATTTTGGATTTTACTATAACCGCATATTTTCTTAATTCTCTAAAGCCTGCTTCTCAAGTAATCGAAGGTCGTAGTTATCTGTGGGACGTTAACAGTAATCAAACAACTTGCGCTCCCTTTCCATGTCATGAAACTGCACCGTTTAAAATATGATATTCTGGATGAAAACCAAATTAACGCACTACTTAAATGTTATAGGAGACCTTACAAATGAAGACAAAGTCTTGGAATGGCTAGTGGAGCAAAAAAGTAAGGGCTAGTATACTATCATACTACATTTTCTAATTCTGTTGAAATATCATATTACTGTAAAAATTATAAAAATAGCGCTTCTAAAGCTCAAACATCAAAAACGTGTGAGTGTGTGCGTGTACAGCTGCATGTCTGCTGTCATTTCATAGGTGACAACTCCGATGAAAACGATGATGATAACGACGATAACGATAGTGATGATGACGATGATGATGATGACAATGATGACGATGATGAAAATGAATTACTGAATTTTGGCGAGATAATCAGCCAATTTGCTTCAGGTAATGGTGAAGCTGCGATTTGAAAGCGGGATGAGTATTCAAGCAAGATTGACATTGATTGCGGTGGTAGAGACAGATCCCTGTACAAAGTGTGTGGTAGTTATTCCAACATTAAAGGGTAGATCTACGAGCTTTGTTCATACAAGTATGACATTTTGAATGTTACTTACTGATGATGTGGAACATTCATTCATTCGAATATTTTTACAAGGCTGTAGCTTACTTATGATTTTTCTTAGATAGTATACAATGCCATATGAGCAAAATGCTTAAAAGGGGTGCCTGTTCAGATATCGTTTACGCTGCGCACCGCATCAAGACAAAAGCCACCACGCGATCTTTAAATCTTCGCGCCTCTGTTGGTCGGCAGGCCATATTTATGGCCTGAGGACTTAAAGACAAGCGAATAGAAACACGAAAATAGAGTCAAACGTTGATCTAAACCAATAATAGTTTACGAACCATAATGAGTTTCAGTTACTACCAAAGCAGATTTGAATTTTATTTTGAATGTACTATTTTTGCTTGGTCTTGTATAATTGAAATCTACAGAATTCTGGGGACATGAGGACTTCCTGTACCACAGACATGAATAATAAACATTTGGTAGTAAATGAACATTTTATATTCAATTTTGTATCTCCATACATTTCTTTATAATGGCGCTATTAATATTGGTACAGGCGAATGTAGTAAATATCCAAAGTCAAAATGTCGCTGTTGCTGTTACATTTTTTGAATAGTATCTCAGGAGGCAACAACTAAATTTCATACTTGTGTCATTATGGCTCTGTTGACCAATGGTTACTGATAATTTGCCGTATTCCTTCAAGGACGTGATACTGGACATACATTTATTTCACCCTATACTCGTACAAGTATCAGCGAAAATCAATACTTTTAGATACTTTCAATATTTGTGATTTTTTAGTAATCACCATAAAGCGAGCATTTGAATCTAAATAATAACAAAGCTACGTGAGAACTTCTTGAGAATTCAATTATTATTCGGTCGCAGCTTGCATATAAGTTAAACTATTACAATCATAAAAATTGCAAGCACACTGCATACAATAAAATCACTGCTATTACAAAAATAAACAAGTTGTCGGTTTCAGTTTGCCTCAGTTCAAATATGTGTCTATGTTTTAAATTGGATGAAATTCGTTGCACCTTAGGTCTCATACTTATATTATGTCCTGAAAGGGATACTCCAAATATACCGAAACAGAACACATCCAATCAGATGATACGCATACATCAATAACAACGATATATCCACGTTTGATGGAGTCCAACCTACAATGGACCTATACAATTGATTCCAACTTCCCTATAATCAATGATACGAGACTACTTCGAATATTAGACTTTCGTGTGTGAGTGTTACTGCGCCAAAATCGAGAGTCAGGCAGTCCTTATCAGAGATTGGTTACCCAGTTTCAATTTCGCTTGCACATTGCAACATTCATTGCTGGGTATTCATACTAAAATACATTTTAATGTATAGTTATAAATAAAAGTACTCACATTCATAGACGATGTAAAAGATTATTTCTTACAAAGGTTTCAGACAGTCTTGAACGGTTTTTTGCAGATCTTGAAAACAAGAATCTCCTTGATAAAACTAAATGAAAATATCGTATAATGTATTTTGAGTGTTTAACATAGGTGTCACAAGAGAATATGAAGCCATGTTTTATTTCTTAAAATCCCATAAATTTCCGCTTTTGCAACTTTGCAGCTTAATTGTTCTGTACAACTAAACATGTCAGAACTTTTCTAATCATATAAAAGTCTATGAAGCTTCATAATATATCTGCGCTTACGTTCAGCAAGAATGCCGCTTTATCTAATAGAATTTGAGGTAACAGGTCGCAAGTCAAGCTATACGCTATGATATAAGATTTTTTACGAATATAGACTGGAGCTTCAACGTTACTTGTCTTAAGAGCTACCTACTTCAGAATATGGTAAAATAATAAAAAAAAATATGAACCATCAATGATTTTTTTGTGTTTTTGTCTCAACTTGCGTCAGTGGAGTGTCTGCCAATTTAAGTATATTCTATTGAATATTCAGCAATGAAAATGGATTGTCTGTCATATTTGTATCCACTTCGACACTTGCGCTGTTGATTATCTTGTGTTGTACATATATAAACTTGAGTAGGTACTACCTTTCCTTCGTCGCCAATTGTGGTAACCTATCTCTGACCCTCATATACGTTGTAGACGCTGCTTTCTCCAAACTGTGCATGTTGTTTTTCAAAGAGCGCACTGCATGCAGGGCATAGTGTCAGACTCTCACTCGTTTGTACTACCAATGATTTTTCTTTAACTACTAACAGCTGATTATTAACGATTTTATGATATTGTATATCTGGTATATAAGCTGGTATGATCTGACATTATGTCTGTATGCCTGCAGGAGATGGCTGCTTCTACATCGGTATGGGCGGAAAGGGAGTACTGCCTAAAACCTCGTTCGAGCCGTACCAGTGCTGTCCCAGGCCTCCGAGCAAGGGAAGCAAGGTTGCCAAAGCACAAGCGAAGAAGATCGCAGCCAAGCAGGTAAGCATGACATAAATACTATGCAACCTGAGCTATTTTCAGCATTAATTTTTATGTTTCGGTTTTAAATTGATGTGAAAGCATAACATTGAGTTGTCTCACACAAACCAGCTTGAGTGGTAGTAAAGCGAACATGTTGATTCTGTAGCACTGAGCTCTTATAGTGACCTTGTCTTCGATGACGTCACTAACTAGTCGTTCATCTGACTAATAAATATGTAAACAATATCTTCAAAGATAACGATGTCATCGATCTCATCAGAAGTCAAGATCATGTTACAAATTGAACAGACTGTCTGATATGAATTCCATTACCATGTTTAGTTTGACGAGACTTTCCGGATAGATCTCAATTCCGTTTAACCCGCGCTATACCTCAAAAAAACTGGTCGGTATTACGCGTTCATTTTACGATATAGGCGCTTGCTGCCTGTACCAAAAAATGCACAGCCTGCAGTTTACACATGACAAAGTATTTTGACCATAGTCAATTACAGCATTCAATGTATGAAAAATACACCTATTTCTATTTTCCCTTAATTTCTACTGTACTGACGTCACTGTGATCATTATGTAATTGTGCCGCACGCAGAACAGATTAGCTACTTTCAACTTTACTGGATAGGCTCATGGATATAAACGTGGTAAAAAATGAGTCTTTGTGGAGTCCACGTCATTAGGAATTGAGATGTTTTATATTGTTCAACCATTTTGTTTACAGCAAATGAAAACATCTCAACTTCCCAAACTACGAGGTGTACTCCAATCTGATAAAGAACGGGAGAGTTGTGGCTTTTGTCCGCAGTAGTCTTTCCTGATCCAGAGATGTTTCTTTGGAATCAGACCGGAAGAACATTATGTGGCTTCGGCTCAACTCCAAACCATCACCCAAATTATTTGCTGCCTTTATCGCTCTCCCTCGGACCATAACTGGGATGACCTACTCGAATACCTCGTCGTTAAGATCGACTTCCTGAACATCAATCACCCCACTCCAGAGGTAGTCCTCCTCGGTGATTTCAATGCCCATAATGAGCTTTGGTTGGACTCAAACAAGACCGATGCAGCAGGTTGTGCAGTCGAAGCGTTCGCTCTTACTCAAGGACTGACCCAGCTGGTGACGAGCCCTACTTTTTTCCCCCGCATCTCGTCACACGCCAGTAGCCTGCTGGATCTCTTTCTTACCACGCAACTCATACAGGCCGCAAAACTTGGCATTACGGACATGCCGACTGGGAGGGGCTCAGAGACTTCTTCTCTAGCTTTCCTTGGAGAGATGTCTGTTTCACTGATGCGGATGCGTCGGCATCCTGTTCTTCGATAGCAGAAATTATTCACGTCGGAATGGAGGAATACAACCCTCATACAGTGAAAGTGACTTAACCAGGGTCCAACGGGTGGTTTAACAAATCGTGTACCACTGCTCGCCAGCAGAAGATCAAGGCACACAGAACCTACTTACAAAACCCCACTGTAGAGAACAGACAAGCCGACGTCGAGTCCAGAAACAAATATAACGAAGCGGTTCGCAATGCCAAAAACCAGCACGATATAAAAGCTAGGCACAGGGTAATGTCGCAGCGCAATGGCAGTCGGTCTTTCTGGACGCTGGTCAACCACTTACGTGTCAGGATGGAACTATTGTATTCGACTCAGAGTCCAAGGCGGAACTGCTTGCCGTCAACTCAAAGGGTTCCCTACACCTATGCGGGAGGTAACATTCAGGCATAAGACCGTAAGACGAGTGCTCTTGTCGCTCGACATCAACAAATCTTCTGGTCTGGATTTGATTTCTGCCATTGTACTGAAGAGGTGTGCAGCGGAGCCTGCTCCAGTTCTTTCGCGTCTCTTCCAAATATCTTATGAATCCGGCACCTTCCCAGAAAACTGCAAATTTGCTCATGTCCAACCCATCCCAAAAAAAGGATCTAAGACCGACCCTTACAAGTACAGGCCTATAGCTCTGCTTTCTGTTATAAGTAAGGTGATGGAGATTGGAGAGGTGCATAAATCGCGAGATTCTGGACTACCTCGAGCGTCACAGCTTGATTAGCGACAGGCAGTATGGTTTCCGGCACCAACGATCCACAGGGGACCTCTAGCTTACGTCACTCAATTGTGGAGTAAACTGATCCAGTCTTATGGTGAGGCCCATGTTGTTGCTCTTGACATCACGAAAGCGTTCGATCAGATGTGGCACGCTGCCCTCTCAAGCAAATTTCCATCCTATGGCCTCCCAGAAAAGCTTTGCAGATGGGTGGCTGACTTTATCTCTGGCCGCAAGCTTATCCGTTGTAATTGACGGATTCTCCTCTTCATCCCATAACGTCAACGCGGGTGTTCCCCAGGGCTCGGTCTTGGCTCTAACACTGTTTCTCTTACATATCAACGACCTCCTTTTCTGCACGATCAACCCAATCCACAGCTTCGCTGATGACAGCACTCTACATGCAGGAATTCAGAGTGACAAGCCGATCTCTGCCGCTGAGCTGGAAAAAAGAAGACTAGCGACGACTTCCTCTCTGACAAGATACCTGGAGGCTATCACTGCTTGGGGACGCAACAATCTTCTACAGTTCAATGCTTCCAAAACACAGTACTGTACTTTGACGAACAAAAAGCGTCCTAGCGCTCATCCAGTTTCATTGGACGGCCGAGTTATGTCAAAGAGCCGTTCATTTCGGCTGGTCGGACTCCAGATCACCGAGGACCTGATCTGGCACGAACATATCTCGTCAATAGCTGCAGCTGCTGGGAAAAAGCTAGGCTATTTGTTTAGGGCTAAGAAGTACTTTTCTCCGCTTGACCTTCTCACTCTATACAAGGACCAGATAAGGTCTTGCCTCGAGTTTTGCTCACACGTTGAGGGTGCTGCCGCCCGACTACATTATCCATGCTCGATGCTGTCCAGAGGAGGGCGGTTCGACTGATCGATGACTCTTCTTTAGCAGACAGTCTCGGGACTCTTCCGCACCGGCGGGCCGTCGGTGATCTAGCTCTTTTCTATCGCTACACCAACGTGCTTTGCTCCTCATAGTTCTCTTCCATGATGCCGCCGCGTGATGTGCCTGCCAGACAAACCCGCCTGACTTTGGCATCCCATCCTAACCGTGTCGAACTTCGTACATACTGAACTGGCCGATACGACCTCTCCTTTGTCCCGATGGTGTCGAGATTATGGAACAATCTACAAGAGGAAGCTTTTCCCAGTTCTACTAACCTTAGGCAGTTTCAAAAATCTTATTAACAAAATGTCTTTGGGATCCTCATAGCAGCCGCCGTGTTCCGGCATTTAGGCTTCTGCCTGCGCGGCTGCTTCGATATAAAAAAACATATTTTCAAAATTACAACTTCAACAAAATAAAGCTATGAGAGTTATTTTAAATAAAAGGAGATATGCTAAGATTATGTGTATGTTAGAAGAACTACAGTGAGTGAATGTAAAAAGATAAATGATATGTAGTTCTAATTTTCATATTCAAATTAAAAAAGAATGTATGTTATTATCACAAATAACTACAAAACTAGAGGTAATATGGATTTTCATCGGCAAAGTTGTAATTGTAGCATAAGTAGCAAATCTGAATTTCAAAAGGAAGTATGTGAATTCAATAAATTAAATAATATATAATATTAAACTAGTTCGAATTGAAAAATGTTTAAGGTGAAGTTAAAGCATCCCTCAAAACTGACATTGTAGTATTAATGATAAATAATTCTTCACGAACAAACAAACAATCCCCGACGGTTATGTTCTGTCTCTAATTTTTTCGTAGCCAAAAGTTAAATTGGATTCGTTAGGAGTGGTGGTTAGCTGCTAGCGATATATTCATTGGCGTAGCTCGCTCATGTTAGTCCCAATATCAAAATTTGTCGGATACCTTACCCAGTTGTAGTTAGTCCCTAATGAAAAATAAAATTCGAGGTGCAAATTTTACGCAAGTAAACTCGGTCGTCTATGTGTTGGCATTACTTTACTCTCGTAATCTCAGAACCAGCATGCTATGGAGTCATAGTTCAAATGGCAGCTGTATCATCAGCAAAAGCTGAAAAGCTTTCTACCTACTGAAAATTTTAGGGCGTACAAAAATAAATATTTGGAGTAGTTACAATTTTGAAAACTTTGGAAGAAAATTTCTGCCGACGTTCCTTACTCCAGGTTAACTTGTAACATTAATATGTAGTTAAAAAAATGTATTCCTTAGTACGGCTTATTTTTGACTTACATATAAAAATGATACTACACCAAACATCACTTGTGTGACAAAGTTTATTTTGTACCTATGAAAAATTTGAAATCAGGCATATGTGAATGCGTAGGAAGTGCCGACTCAATCTACTTGACACTGTTTTTTTAGACTTTTGTTATTAACTCGACCTCCTCCGACTTTAGTATTTGGAGATTTTTTGCCTTCCATAGCAGTAATAAATAGCCCATGAAAGTCCTAAGATAATTTAAACAACTGCCACTAGCAATACGATTTAGCACTTGAGAATCTATATTTTGGCACACGGTCTAAATACTTGCGCGAGATTATGGATGACATTGATACAGCTGATACCGCAGTAGCTGCGTCCCTGAATATACTGGACACAAATAATTTGTTAGGATGACGATATCCTTATTCTCATTTAGTAACATATACATTTGCTTAGCTTAACGCACCTCACTCAAATCTAACGCATACACTAACGCATGAATCCATACTTTTAAATTTTTTTGGAAATGACCCACAGGTACTCCCAAAAGCGGCCCTGAAGAAACCAGCACCGACCCCAGCGATGAGAACCGTCTCTAAAGCTGACCACCCAGTGAACAAAGGCAAAGGAGGCGCAAAAGAGCCCGTTAAAGAACCTAAGAAAGGAGGGAAGAAAGGAGGATTCTTTGGCTCCGGTAAATATACATGGTGGTGGTAGGAAAATACGCAACTAACATCCAACTTTTCTTCTATGGCGCAGCGTAATAAAATGGCCACCCAGTCACTATCAACTTGAATCAACGCGAATAAAAGTCAAGTCTGCTCAACGTAGTTTATTTGATGAATCCTTGTATGTTACAGCTTCAACTTTTATTTAATACTCACTTATGTTCATCATCGCTTTGGCACACATAAACTCCTATCGTTTAAATACTAGGATCATGCTTAAGGCTGTGCCACTTATGTGCTATAAAAATAGAGTGATAAGCTAAACTCTTCAAAGTTCAAAAGAACTTCGGTAAAAACCGTATCGCAATTAAATGAGGCTGAACTATAAAGTCGTTTGGTATGACATTGATAGTTTTGTAAAAGAAATGAAGTTTATATTTTTGTATAATGATAAAAATAATTAACTTTAACCATCTTGTAGCTCCAGTACCTCTATATTTCATATCATCAAACGAGGTACTTCTGATTCTTATTTCCTCATTATTGTGTCTGTCAAGTTTTACTTTTCATTATGCCAAATAATTTCGAGTCAAACAAAACATGCACTCACTGTAGATATATTTCTTCATTACATATTTTGAATAAAGCATAATATATAATTTGACCTAGTATATAAATGAATGGCGTTTTTTGTTAGTTTAGTTTTTTTATTGTTTGTTGTCAGACCAGTGGCAATACAGGTGATCCAAGCGATTCCTTTGGATGCCTTTAAAAACATAAGACGTTTCGGCCACCACAGTGGCCTTTTCAAGTACAATGGCAATTATTAATTAACATGAAACTAGCAAGATAAGTTTTAGGAGTTACATTATAAAAATACTTTTTAAATATGGAGTATATCAGCTTCATACACTGAAAAATGGTCCAGCTGTATCAATTATGATATGGCAATGATTAAAGAATCTTCTATAATATCCAAAAAAGATGTCTACAAACAAGGAAAGAACATCTAAGATTTTGAACGCTTGTATTGTCACCAAATTGCACACTTCACCATTTTGTTTCATTTTTAATACTTTTGTAAAATAAAAAAAGATGTACACATCTTTAACTTAACTGGTCCATCAAGTTCTTATTGGTATCTCGTTCAAAGTAACTGTAATACGGATACTGTAGCATGCAAAACCTTCAAATCAATTAAGTAAAAAAAACATGTCGTTTCATATTATACTTATTTTGAATGGTATACGATAGTTATTTTTATAATAGTTATCTATTAAACTCATTGTTTTGTTATAAGAGAATTTTAAAAATTGTTAATTCTTATTGTTATTTTTGGAGTATGTATTTTTGTATAAATATGTACATATTCAATAGGATATCCCTGAATTTTTAGTAAATTAGAAGACTTAGTTGACATATTAGCTGTTTTTCACATTTTGTTATAGTTAATTTGTTGGAATATGAAGAACAATCTCAGGGTATCCGGTCGGTAAATACACTGCCGCACGTCTTTTACATGAATATTTATTCCTACAAGAAACGTCCAAGTTAAACTAAATAAATCGTTTTCTAGTACTGTTACCTAATGTTTTAATGCCCTTAGAATCTCCCAGTTAAGCGAAGCTTTCTAAGTAGTATCGTAATCATCAACACGGTTGTTACTCAAAACAAATTTGGAAGTACATGCCTTTTCAAATGGTATGTTGTATCAAATATTCTCTAGCTATAACTTTTGCTTTACACTGTTTATAAATACTCAGAGCAAGAAGCAGAATTTTGGTGCTATGTACTGCAACGATACAAAATATTCAATTCATCATCGTAATTCTAGTGAGAAAACTGACAACTACTTTATTATGAGCAATATTTTAACATCATCAACCTACTATGTATACATATTTCGAGTGGAATCCACACACTTTGCCATATTCAAAAAAATATATAATAAATGTTATATCCTAGTCTCGAATGTCTGCTACACTGATGCAGACAGTTTTGTATCCGTAACCCCAAAATTAGGGGTATATAAGAACTCTGCTTTCAGTCGAAATACCTAGTAACTCGAGCTACTATTTTCAATTTATTTACATCTTCTAACGGACCACATTAAAATCTATTGATTGGCATTTTAAAATTATAGATCTGACCATTATTTCCGGAGATATTAAGAGCTTATTTTCAATAAGCGAAGTTGCTAAGAAGCATTCTTTTAAATAGCAACACCCCAACAGTTTTTGATATTTGAATGATTGCAATCATGTATAGAATCGCAAAACAGTGTGCTGAGGTACTTGAAACTCCACTTAAGAATTACAAGCAAAAAAAGCTAGCAACTTCTGGATATTTCGATGCAAATCATGGTTACCCAGGAATTGTTTGAAGGCGTTTCTGAACAGCAAAGCTTTAACTAAGAAGACTTACTACTTTTCTGATTCTAGATTACTCGTCGGATCTACTTACCATGCTTTTCATTTGCAACAACATACATTAAGCAACTATGGTAAATAGGCATGTAATGCTTTTACATAGAAGCAAAAATAGTTAGTCGTTAGTCGCTGTGAGCTTCGAGAGTTCTTTTAGCTATCAATGTTGTGATTATCCCTAGGTGGTAGAAGATCTCTGGTGGATCTCTAAAGTGGGGCCAGAATGTGTGCATGTCCCTGTTTCACATGTATCCCTCTATAGCTTCATGGTACCCACGAGTATTTATGCCTTAGGCCTGCGTGGTCGCTCAAGTATACAAAAAAGGTGAAAGGGAAGTAAAAACCTATACGCAATAAAAAATCAGATAAACTTTCCCAGAATTGTTGGTTTCGGAGTTATTACGTTTAACGCGGTTAGCATGGTATTGGAAGCAGTGATAAGCTAATCGATTCATTCAGCGATGATTTTATTCATTATAATATATTCTGACAGAATCATAGAGTCGAGTTGAAAATCCTGAGTAGGCAACCCTCACTGTAGGTGATCAAATAAATCTATCTTAAAGAGAATTATCTTCCTTTCATCTTCGTCATCTTTAATGTCATCATCATGTTCAATATACAGCTACAGCAAAGTGTTCAAGAGGTTGGCCCATAAGTACAACGATACACACGCCCCTCACAAAGGCAGATCCTAAATACCGAAACTCCATGAGTGCTATAAACAGGCTAAGTGTAATGGAACTGGGGATTTTTTTCTGGCAGATTGTTCTACATAGTCTATACCCTAAAAATACATTATTGGTCGCGCCATTCTGTTCTCGATACAAGGAGTCTGAATGAGAAATAGAAGTTTGGTGGATTTATTTGGCGTGACTAATACACAGCGGCGTCATAGACAAGAACAAAATCCGTTGACATAACGACGAAAACCAGATCTCCGACTACTCGTCTATGGAAAGAGGCTTGAAACTCTATTTTATATTTGCCATTGGGTGCCGAAACATTGAAGTTTAGGCTTGAACCCATATTGAATGAATTAACATAAAAGTGAGCTCAGGTTTAGTTCAGCAAACTAATTAAACTTTTTATTTTTTGATTTGATACTGAATTTCACAGCAAAATTTTATAGAATGAATCAACAAGCAATGAAAGCGCACGAACGCGGGCACAAGTTCCTCTTCTTTTTCGATTATCCTTGATAGCGTCACTAGGAGGAATTTGAAAAACAGGAGAAACTTCATAAAACATCTATTCTTGTCAAAAAATGAGTATGGTGAAACACTAGCTTTTCAAAAATATTCCAGGATACTTGCATGTCACTGAGAATAAAAGCATATTTTTTTTATTTTGTTTTACATCCAGAATATATATTTTATATTTGCCAAATTAGCATATAATCACTTATTTCGTACAAAAAATTCATTGAGTTATAGAGGCAAAATGACTAGGTAAGTACAATTTACAATTATATAATGCATATTATACAAACTTCGAGAGAGGTTTGGTCTACTAAATTATTAAATTTGTTGCAGATAATTTGCAGATAAGACTTGCAATACTACCTTAATCAAAAAGTTTCCGGAATTTATTAAAAAAATAAACAATACAAGTTTATTGTTCAAAATCTTCTTCTTCAAAGTAGTCCCCCTCACTGACTGGAATGCACTTATGCCAACGCTTGATCCTCGAAACATTTTTTAAACTCGATGTTAAGTATCCCAATTAGGGTCATCTTCGATTTTTCCATTCTCTCCTTTGGGCTGCTGAAACGGGCTCCTCTCAGTGGCTTTTTGTTTTTGAACAAGAAGAAGTCACAGGGGGCCACATCAGGTAATTTGGGTGCTTGTTGAATGGTATTCAAGTTGCTTTTGGCCAAAAACTCACGGATAATGATGGCACTGTGCGATGGTGCGTTATCGTGCAAGATCCACGAGTTGCTTGCCCACAAATGTTTGCGTTTTTGACGGATTGATTCACGCAAACATCTCAAAACACCCAAATAGCACTCCCTGTTGTCAGTTTGATTTTCTGGCCAGAATTCACTATGCATCAGGCCGTAGTAATCCATGAAAACCGTGAGCATTACCTTCTTTTTCGACTGGAAACGACGCGACTTCTTCGGTCTCGGCGCGCGTCATTCATTCGCCTGAGGGCTTTACTGCATGTCGTAATCATAAACCCACATCTCGTCTCCAGTAATGATGCGTTTGATAAATGTTGGGTCAGAATCAGCCATGGAAATCATGTCTTTGGCGATATCAACACGGTCATTTTATTGCATGAAATTCAAGTCTGTAGGCACCAACTTGACTGCAACACGACGGAGACCCAAATCATTGACCAAAGTGCTTTGAACGGTTCCATAAGCAATGCTCAAGTGCTCTGCCATCTTTCTGATAGTTAATTTGCGGCTGGTGACCAACAATGTCTTCACTTTGTCTACGATTTCTTCTGTTTTCGATGTCGAAGGCCTGCCTCTGCGCTCATCATCGGCGATGGACTGACGACCTTCTGTGACCCGTCGAAAACGGCCGTTTTCTTCAAATATTGTTGCCGAAGCATTTTCCTAGCATTTCCAAGGTTTGCGTACCATTGATATTGTTTTCAACACAAAATTTAATTCAAACGCATTGTTGTTCATTCAGATCCATTTTAAAAATACTAATAAATCGTGAACACGCTCAAAAGCACATGTACTCAACTCGTCGTAGCATTGACAACTGATAATGAGATGACACCAAAATTCGGGGGGAATATCAGTGAAAGTTGGGCACTATAACAAGACAAACAGAATTGACCGCCGAGTGCTACGAGCGCCACACGGCGAACATTCCGGGAACTTTTTGATCAAGGTAGTAGATAATTAAACGGTCTCATTTGGTGTTTCATAGAAATTATAAACTGCCAACAAAGGTCGAAGTCTGTATACCCTTTACGATAGCTAAAAGCTCCTAATACTTTCGAAACACCTTAACATGCAAAAAGGTCTGTATCTGCATATCTAGTTCTTCTGAACAAATCTATACAGAGATCACTTTATGAACTCAAATCACTATGGAATACTAGTTTGTGGACATCGTGCAAAAAGGATGCCGAGCCCTAGCAAACAACCTCTGAAACCAGTTAAACAATTGCTTATGAAGCAACTGCATGATTAGTGCCTAAAATACAGGGACCTAGATATGGCTCAGCCTACTGTATCCTATCCTAAAAGGTGTATTTGAATAATGAGCTAGGGACGAGTTACTTCAACTGAACTTTTCAACAGAATCTAAGCATTCTTGAATGCATTTTATGTAACCCTTGGTTTTAGGGAATCTACTTGATGAAACTGAGGTTCTGGAATGGATGTTAGACCAGAAAAACGACGAGAGTATCGAAGAAATCGACAGAGAGAAATTATTCCACTATATAGACACCAAAGAGTTCTTAGCTGTAGTATTTTGTAAGTACCATAATGCGATAACATGAATGAAAGTTGAGTCATAGACTCTAAGATTATATTTTCATGAAGCTACTTGTGTAGGTGCAGTCTGCGAAAACCATAATTTCGTATACTTAGGCCAAACAGACAAGTTTAAAAATCGTTTTAAAATAAAGTAATCTCAAGTACCCATCGGGACCTTGTAAAACAAGATTTAAGCTTTAATTTAGATACTCGGCTACCTCGAAAATCGTAATTTTTAACGAAACTTTTAATTATTGAATATACCCATTTTGCTGGCTTATCAAACATTAAATCGGGTATAACACGAGTCAGCTTTAGAGAAAATTTAATCGGAACCTTTTTTGTTCAGAATGATCAAAAAGCCCGAAAAAAGCTATCCAGGCAAAAAATGTAATTTATTTAAATAACATGCTTAAACAAATTTGATATGGGTTACCGTGCTTGAAAATTCGGTTAAAAATTATAAATTCATGTGTATCTATATTGAAAGTTGAGACTTTGCTCTGTCCGACCTTTAAGAGTAATTTTGAGGCTAGTTTATTTTAAATTGATTTCAACCTTGCTTTTCGAGCCAAAATTTTTGTTTTCGCAGATCGTAAATAATTGGTACTATCAAATCTTTACTGGGTATCGGAACCCTTTTTACTAGGCAAGCCACTGGTTTCTTTGTGTGAATAATCAAGGAAATTCAATACCAACAAAATCCGTTTCAGTGCTGATAAGCAATTTCGGAGCTGTAAAGATCATCCGAATATGGACCCTACAGAACTATGTGGAAGGTGTAAATAGTTCCTAGATCGTTCTAATTTAATGCAACGGGACCCACAAAAAAGAATATAATAAATAGGTTCCAATCAAAATATGCGGATTTTATTGTTCTCCTCTTCTCCTGATGAATACACCTAGTGCGATCCGGAGGTAATCCCACATTTCGGTTGAATTTTCTGGCTGCTTACTTTTAAATTACTTGTCTACTAGCACGAGAAAAATGTGTTTCGTCTGAAAGTCCTCTGGCCACACTGACAAAGAAACCAGTTAATCCCCGAAATACTCTGTTAGACTTTGATAGCGCCGAACCCTGAGATAACTGACAGAGATATAACCAATACAGAATAAGTTCTTTAATATCTGCCATCGATTCACAATTTCTTCTAAATCATTCAAGTAATCTAAGACAAATTAAGAACATATATAAATGACGTGTCGACGACGTCAAAAACGAATTACTTAAAAAAAATCAAAAAATCACTGTAAATCTAAAAAGCTCACAAATTCGACATATGTTATAAACTATTCAATATGCGGTATTGTGAAGGCATTCCACTAAAAATCTCAACAGTCTCTTCAGCTTCCCTGGTTTCCGAGGTTTTCGTGTTTTCACGTCTAACAGACCTCAACTACGCTGGCTACAATAACTCTCTTCCACACACTTTAAACTGAAGTATTCTTTTAAAGATAAAGAAGAGGATCCAGACAGTCCCCGTATACTCCGCCATATCGAACTGATAGACGACGAAGCTTTAGAATACGGAATCAAAATAGTGAAAATGAAAGACAGGTTAATGGCAAAGAAGTACGGGTTCAGAAATCCACCAGGAATCACATATTTCAGGAAAGGCAAGCCTATCAACTACGATGGAGATATCGATGATGAAGAGGAAATTCTAGATTGGTTTGTAATATATCTTATATGAAAATTTCATAACCATGGGGCTGAATTCTAACTGATTTGTACATTTGTAAAATTAAGTTTAGTCCCGAAGAAGGCATAAAATAAAGTCCAAAACTTTGACCCGTTGAAGAAAGACACCTTACCTTTTAAAACTTGTTGTCTATCCCAATCCAAAGATTTTAAAAGTGCGTAGCTGACACTGGGACTATTGGGATCTCGGGTACGGTACGAGTTACGATAACGGTTAAAAGTTGGTGAAGTTGCGCATTTAGGTGGCACTTAGAAAGTGTAGCAATTCAGAGTATTTCCGTAGATAAATTTAATTCAAAATAAATTGCACATTAACTTTGTTTCTTTTTCTCCCCTTCAAGATGGAATATTCGGAATTCGGACACAGATGAATAATGTATGTCATACATTGTCATTGCTAAAGCCTTGGCTATTCCAAAAAAAAAATACATTTTCATAGATGGCGTTGAAAATAACAGCTTATCATGGGTTTACTCGATTACATAACTAGTCTAAGAAATATAGAAAAATGTTTTTGGGAAATTGTTAGTGATAATACAGGTCGCGGTGGAAAAAAATGTTCTGCTTCAATTTGGTATTTGGAAAACATTGGTTTCAAAATCTTTGTTTTAGTTTTTTCATCAATTTATTTTATCGCTAAGGGAATAAACGTCGGCTCTTGCAACAAAAGCACTACAAGTTTGACCATTTACTATATACCTTTTAAAATATCTATTCGCACAACACTGACCTCTAACCCTCTGACGAATATGTACTATGACACAATAAACACACAATAAATTCCAAATCAAAATATCTTGGATATTTGTTTTTATTGAAGTCTTTCTGAAAAGGATTGTTTTTTATAAGAATATATTATACAGCTCCAGAAAGTCTTACAATTTTCGGGTGGTGCTTATTTTGAAGGGAATGTATTGTAGTTGCAGTTAAAACAGAATAGTCATTCTGTGATTTAGGCAAATATCAACATGATTTCTAAATTTAAAATTTACAATACTATAAAAATAAGTGTGTTTTCTACCATCCTACAATAATTATTGTTATTATTTTCAAAAAAAAATTACAATAAAAACAAAAAGATAAGATATTTTAATTTGGAATTTATTGTGCTTTTATAACGTGTCAGAGCATATATTCATCGCAGAGTTGGGGATCACTCTCGTGCGTATAGAGATTATCAAGGTAAATAGAAAATTGTCAGCTTTGTAGTGGTTTTATTGCAATAACTTGAATATCCTTTGCCCAGCTTTGGTGTTTAAAAATTTAATATGTAAGTACTTTACCGATATAAAAATGCTCAAGGTTCATTTCTTTAGCGATAAAATAAACTGATGAAAAGCTAAAAAATGATTTTGAACCCTATTTTTCACAAATATTTTTTTTCTTGTCACGACTCATTCTCTTCGCACGTTCTTACCAAATAATTTATCCACTGTTTTTGCTAGATTGCTTGGATTAGACCAACTAAAGACTTCTTCAGTTTTTGAAAAGAGTTCTTAAGGATATTGGGATAACTTGCCCATTTATCGAATACAGGGTGTTCCGGACTTAAATGGATATAGTGAAATGATAGATAGTAGTAGATTTTAAATTCATTTCGTACGGATATACACGGTGATGTATCTAAACTCGCCAAAGCTTTAACATCACATCTCTCGCGCACTGTTCAACCGATTTTGATGGAATTTTGGACATTAACGTGAGCCTAGTAGGCCGGACTAATTTTTCTTACCTTTTTGTATTCTAAACAAATCAACAGATTTTAAGCGAGATATTGAAACGTTTTACCATGCATAAAAAAGCCAATGAATGGTACTGATTATTTATAGATTGATTGCATCTCATTTAATTATTTTGCCAAAAAAATTGATTCATTCAAATATATCATTTCTATTAGTTTATGTGAAACAAAACCAAAAATTTCAAACGTTAACACTCTGATTTCATGAAAATTTGACAAGATAGTGCTTAGAATTGTTCCGGACTTGATAGAATACAAAGAAATGAAAACACTGAATCCGACCCTGGAAACTCCCCAAAAAATCATTAGAACAATTCTAGCACTGTTTTGTAAAATCATGATGGAATCAATTTGTTAACATTTGAAATTTGTTTCGCATAAACTGATAGAAATAAGATATTTGAATAAATAAAAATTCTTGATCAAAAAACCAAAAGAATCGCAAATTGCTAATTAATAAGCAACACCCATTGGCATTTTTGTGCATGATAATACATTTCAATATTCAGCATACAATGTGTTCATTTTGGTAAACAAAAAAGTTACAAAATCGAGTCCGCTCCTAGACTGGATTTACGTTACCCCTAGGTAATTTTTTTATTGTACAAAATTTCACAAAATCGGTTTAATAGTGCCTCAGATATGTGAAATTAAATATCCGTAAAAAGTGAAATTAGAACTGTTTTATTTTCATATATGAAAAGGCCTCGTTCCATTCTACCTATCATTTCACTACGTCATTTAATATAGCAAGGGTTAGGTTATCGCGCCGGAGCCTCCCTATATTAATATCTAAGCAAGATGTACATCGGTTTCGATATGACATGTATTTAGCAGCCTGTTACATCGACGAGTTTTTTGATGAAACCAAAATGCTAAGAGCTAAACCGTTTTACTACCCTTAATTAATATGAAAAAGTTAGCATTATCTTGTTCTTTATTTAAGAATAAAATTCGTAAGTGGTAGACGGTTTCAGACCGTCGAGCAGTGAGGTATCACCCGACATATCTCTAAGGTGGCATCAGAATGTGTGCGTGTCACATGCACATATGTTTCTCCGCTAGAGTCCGTGTGACGTTTACCCTTTCCCCTGTATCTCTTATAGACCAACGGTGACCACGGGTATTTAGGCCTGCGTGGCTATAGGAAGGTTACGTTTTCAAACATTTGAGGCTCATATCGATCCATATCATCATCATTCTCAACGTTACAACATTAAAATTGGAAAATGGGAACTGTTTACCCATATCCAGTTTAAACTGAAAGAGTGCTTGGCTGATGATATTATGAAACAAATGACTCTCTGATAATTTCAAGGTCTACTTTACAATCTTGTTTGTAACAACATTCCTTCATGAAATCGGGCATCTATTGACTTATGTCAAAATCCTACATGCGGTCTATAAGAAAAGATGAAATTGATTATTGAGAACAAGTGCAGAAACGTTATACGTGGACCTCCGGTAATCCAACAAACATTATGCAGGTCAGTGTCGGACTATCGAATTTGTCGGATTATAGAGCACTGCCTAAGACCCCCTATAGTCCGGAATTTTTTATAAAAGAGTACCTTGTAATCCGACAAATTACATATCCAATGATAAGATTATACATATATGTTATGTATATGTATGTACTTTGAAGTACAAATGATACATAGCTTATGTATGTCGAATTTAGTAAATTAAATAACAATAGAGAGCTTACGTTTTATTATAACATTGAGCATAAATGCACATACATATGTTATGTACCAAAATAATCAAGAATTATTAATCAAAATCATTAACGAATTTATCAAATTATGAAGCTTGGAAATATTCATCAATTTTTTTTTTGTTTAAGGTTGTTAAAACACGAGATCAGAGCTTGTCTCTCAGTCTTCTCAAAAGTAAAAGTTCGTTGTAGGATGTACTATTCTCTTCAGCCCACTGTAAACCTAGCTCAAAGGCGTTAATTGCGTCTTGTGCTGTGACTTGTGGAGCAGTTGCAATCACGTCATCGTTATTTTCCTGATTGTTTGTTGTATAATTAGAAACCTCTTTTATAATCTCTTCGTCAGACATTTCATGAAAAACAGTTTCCTCTTTATTCATTCCACGGCACCAGGTTTCCCAATCTTCCGGACTTATCTGTGTTTCAGTAGCGACTTATTCTATAACTTCCGAAGTAACACTGATTTGCGGAACGTTGCTAGGAGTGGTGACTATATCTGGCCATAAGTTTTTCCAAGACGATTTAGTAGTTGATGACGGTAACGCATTCCACGACTGACAAAGGGCAAAAACCAAGTCATTCATATTAAATTCTTTTAAAGTTTTTTCTATTGGTTGGTCTTTTGATAGGGCTCTCAGAAGTAGGTTTTTCTTGTAGTCTTGCTTGACAAACTGAATGATATTCTGGTCTATTGGTTGAATCAGTGCAGTGGAATTTGGCGGAAGAAACATCGCAGTGATGCATTTATCCTCAGTTGTTAGTTCTTCTTCAGGCGGATGACCGGGAGCGTTATCAAGAAGCAACAACGCTTTTTGAGGAAAATTATGATCTTTTAACCATTTTCTAACTTGAGATGCGAAGCATTTATCAAACAACTTTTTGAAAAAGTCTTTTGTCATCCATGCACTTTTTTGTCCGTAATAGTGTACAGGTAAATCAATGTTTTTGAATGCCCGTGATTTATTAGATTTCCCAATGACCATCATCTTAAGCGCGTGTGTGCCCGCAGCGTTAGCACATGGTAGTATGGTTACACGCTCTTTACTTACTTTTCGTCCAGGTACGGATTTTTCGTTACAAGAAATAAAAGTTTTGTTACGCATCACACGCCAAAAAAGCCCTGATTTGTCTGCATTGTTCACCTGTGACGGGTCAAGATTTAAATCGTTCACCTTTTGCAAAAATCTTAATTTAAAGGGCTCTATGCAGGTGGCATCGTTAGAAAGTTTCTCTCCTGTAATAGTCATTAAACGTATGTCATGACGACTTTTAAAACGTTCTAGCCATCCTTTGCTGGCCACAAAATCATCTTTTTTTGTGATTTCCTTATAAAAAAACTCAGCTTTCATGGCGAACATGGGTCCTAAAATTGGTGCATGTCTATTTCTTTCCTGAAGAAACCACATGTACAAAGCTTCTTCCACGTCTAGATGATCAGCGTTCTTGAGTGTCTGTCTCTTGCCTGGCCCGCAGTCAGTAGTTGACACGAACTTCTTGATCTTCTCGTGGTTTCTTTTAATGTCATAAATTGTAGATCGGCCTACGCCGTATTCACTTGCTAAACTACTAAAGGTTTCATTGCTATTTAAGCGGTCTAAAATATTACATTTTTCTTTGATTGTCAATGTTTTGTGCTTTCGCTTCTGAGTTTGTGATGACATTACTAGGTACTATACTTAATACACAATGAATAAATAGTAAACAATGAACGCACGATAGGCCGTACCGCTATCACAAGTAGTCAAATTCAAACTAAGTAAAACAATGCTTACGCGCCGAGCACGATAGCGGTGGTGCGTACAAGATTGTCAAATACGTATGAATGTAATACATACATATTCAAAGACATGTCGGACTACAGGGGGCGCCGGATTAGACAGGGGCTGGATTATCGGGGGTCCACTGTATTGAAGTTGAATCCCAATGTGAAATTTATTTCAAAATCCATCCTCAAATAGAGTCATGAACAATTTTTTTTTTTTTGGGAAATGTAGTGTTTATCCGTCTATCTCAGGATGTACTTTGAGTTGCTAAGCTCTGTAAGTGTAATTTTCTTAGTTACCTAAATGCGCAACTTTGTCTCGACTTAACCGACTTCGAATCTCTTATCGTTTCCAAGATCTAAATCGTGAGAGTCGAATTTGAAACACCCGGTATATATGGCGACCTCAAAATCAATTTTAGTGACAAAATCAGTTAGGATCAGACCTGAGGGCGTGGACTTCAGTTTTTACAAATTGCACAATTCGAAGTTAAATGCTCGCCTTCCACAGGTTAACCGAACCCGAAAACATGGAGTTAACAGATCATATCGAACGAGTCAACAGAAAGATGTTCGACAAGATTAGGCAAAGGTCTGACTACGTCGCAGTATTTTTATGTGAGTGCGTATAATAACATTTTTTCACTGAGAATCTGAAAAATTGTAGATAATTGTCGCATTTATTTTTGTATGATTTTTCACCCCTGTCACAAAGACCGAAAGACTGAACCGATATGAGTGCGTTTTGCTTAATCAGAAGATTTCTCTGTCTAGAAGGTTCTTAGCTATTATTTATGAAACTCGATCCATCTATTTAAAAGTTAAGGAGGGGAGGGGGGTGATCGTGGTGGATGAGCAATCTAAAGTAAGTGTATATGCATAAATGAGGAACCAGATGGAAGGGTTTAATTTTTAGATCACTAAAACGATCTGGTTATGATAATAGGCAAAGTCTTTTATGGTTAGACTTATTTTTCTGTATGTTTTTAAACCCTGCCGCAAAAATGATCAACACGAGCTTCTCAAAGGTTTGCCAAGCAAATATTTTGTGGCAATCATATTATTTTTTGTGCTTCGCTTACAGGCATCTGTTTACTAATGTATTGTTTGTTCAGATAGCAGTGACTGCAAGCAGTGTCCGCGAGTGCTAACAGAAGTAGAGCACATTGACGATGAAGCCGATTCGGCAGGCATCAATTTCATCAAAATTGACGACAAACAACTAGCAAAGGAATTTGGAGTTTTCGCATTGCCAGCTATTTTGTTTTTCAAAAGTGGATCCAAAGAGCCAACCATTTATGCTGGTGATCTTTATGATGAACAACAGATATTGCAATGGCTACTCACCCAAAAAGGTAGGGGTTACGGAAGAGCTTTTTAACAAATTGATAATAATTAGGGTAACATATTTATACTCTAAACAAAGTAGTCGCACATCAATATCGTTCAACTATCCATTACAGACCCATCTGGTGATGTGATTGAGGCAGCTGAAGGTAATGAACTGCTGAAGCAGATAGATGAAGAAGAAGCACTTGCTGTTTATTTCTGTGAGTACATCTAAGCCGAATGTTGAACTGAAAACATAATCTCAAATAACTAACTTATGTTGCTCGATTTTTTTTCAATATGTAACGAGTTGAAGAATCTAGAACTCATCACGTTTTCCAATAAATAAACTATGATAGCTGTAAGGCAGAGTAACCAAGGTTTTTAGGCTAAAAAAAAAAATTGAATTTCAAGCTGACACTTCTCTTTTAAAACTCAACTAAGTCGGATAATCTCCCGAGTAGGAAGCTTCTTACCTACGATGAGTGTCATTTCTAACTTTATGAAACCAGATACTCTTTGTGAAGTGATCCCTAACGGATTAGCTCTTAGTGTGTTGCGTGGAATCTTAAATATCCTGTGAGAATCAATCCTCCCTTAAAAAATAAGTAGATATGTCAAGGCTACGTAACAAAAGTTATAAAACAATTCGTATTTTGAACAATTTATTTAGATTTTGGAAGTGGAACTTGAAGTAAAGATCTCTTTTTTAGAAAAACATCTTGATGTCACACATTTGATGATGTATCTGAAGACCATGACAATTTCGATTTACTATATATGAATTTTTCTACCTAAATTTTGTTCTGAAATGCACCAATGTGATGACGGCCTATATAAACACCATGCCTTATTTCTACAGGGTGGTTCAGAAAGACTTGTCAATAGGTTACATGCATAAACAGAAAAAAAACCTATAAATATGGGTCCAAAGATGCTCCTCTATCGAGGTACAGAGTGATGAAGTTAGACTTATGAAATTTAAAAAAAGTCATATCTACGAACCCGGTAAGGATACTGAGTTAGGATGTCAGACATTCAGTGACCACATCATCAGCAATAAAAACACACAGTTTCCTGGCCCAAACTTAACCAGCGCCTTAGATACTGGGGAGGCTGGACACCTAATAGGAAATATTTGCTATGCCACTAGCCTTTTTGGAGAAAAGAAGTGCATTTTATAACATTTTAATTTTTCATAAAGTTTATTTCTTACATAATTTTCATCAGGTGACTCGTTTTGGAGATATTTAGGTATAATGGCTTTCTACTTATGACATATGGTGCTTTCAATAGTGGAGATTAAAAAGTTTCATAAGAATATTTTAGGATTTTACATCAAATGTTTAACCCAAAATGAGTGCTCTAACAAAAATTTCCTAAAAGACAAAAATTATGGAAGAATTTTAAATATTTCACACTAAGGGACCAGGTACCCCAGATTCTGCGTACCTGGTTTGGTCTGGGCCAGGAAACCCTGTGTGTTTATTGCCTATAATGTGCTCACTGAAGGTCTAGAATCTTAACTCAGTATCTTTACCCGCCCCGTAGATATAATGTTTTTTCAATTTTGTAAATAAAACTTCATCACCCTGTATCTCGGTAATGGAGCATATTTAGATCCATATTTATAGGAGCTTTTGTTGTTATTTTTAAATTTACTTTCTTTCCTATAAATATTGGCACGCCTCTCTGAAACACTCTGTAGACATTCACAGGTGGAACACCAAAATTTAGTTCTCGATTGCACAGGACATTCTCAGGGGACACCGGGACTAAAAGTTATAAGAATATGTCGAATGTGCTTGATAAAGCTTTTTCTCTCAAATGGCACATTCGCTATTTGTTTAATTAAATCCAGTTGTTAAAAAATGGACATCATCGACTGCTTTGAGTCGATAACCCCTTTTGTTTAGCTTTCATAGTCAAGTACCAGTAGCAGTCGCGGTTCTCCCTTATTTAGGTTACTGCCTGAGCAGCTGTATCAATATAAGAAAAATAAAAATGTAAACAACGTTTTCTTTTCTCAACGAAATGCAAAAATCAAATTCAGAAGTTAGAGCAGTGTAATGATTTTAGTAATGTCTCTATAACGGTTAACTATCAACATTTCTTGCATATATTTAACGTATGCTAGCTTTGCCACAACTAACACCTAATCATAGCATAATGTTTATTTGTCTGTTTGACAAAGGGAACAAGACGCTGTGCGATCTGTGCGCTCAACAGAAACAACAACAGCATCAACGCGGCAGGAAAGCTCAGAAAAAGGCTGCTTCAGGGGAGGAAGAAACGGGCTCGGAGACCTCTCTCATCGGTACAAATTTTATCAAACCCCAATTCCAACCTTTTCGTAGTTGTTGATCCCTATATTTATTTATATTTCTCCCTTATTGTATTATTCGCAACAGTGTTTTGGACGACCCCTTGCAGATAATTTTCAACGTGACTTTTAGTTCAGGAACTTTACCAAAGAAAAAACTGGAGCAGAGACTTGACAGTCGATTTTGTCATTTTTTGCCGAACATTGTTAAATAAATCGTTAACAGGCTGTTAAAATTCATAAACAATGAAAACTGCAGCAAGTTTTTCATTTTTATTATAAAATAAATTCTGAGGTATCCGGGAAAAATCTCAATTTCTCCCAAATGCCCAGGGTTATTGAAGCTTTTGTCACAGTTTGGTAATTTAAGTGATAGCAGCCCTAGGTTTGGTTAATGTGCTCGAAATTGTGTAATGGGCTTTATTCGAGCTGATATATGGTATCCCAACAGCCAGTTCGGTATTCTTTCTATGGTAACCGAGGTAAATCTAGAAGATCAGAGTCAGATAATGGACGCCATGTTGCCCCTTTCTTGGTCAGCGATTTTCTTCAACCGTCTCCTGTGGGTGATTAGGTTTATTCATTAAATAAATCAACCGTTCAAATGAGATATTTGAATATTAATAATAATAATAATAAATGTCTTTATTGAAACCTTCGAATTGAGGCGAAGCTTAGCCACATGGCTACTCTACCACTTAACCTCAAAAACGAAGTGAAAAAATAATAATAATAAGGACAATAGTACAGTACAGAAAAATAAAAAGAAAACAATGAACAATTACAGAATGTATAAAGCATGGAAAATTTACAAAAGCTACAAAATCAGTCGGCTAATCATCAGGGATTTTTAAAAAGGCAATTCCAAAAGAGCAGATTTGTATTTAATTTTAAAAACAGGTAAGCTTTTGGACTTGAGTACCTGGTTGACAGAGTTGTAAGTCCTGATAGCATTGTACGTAAAACATCTTCGGAATATACATGTTCTGTGGAATGGCATACCGAAGAGATGGTTATGTCGTAGGGCTCTAGAAATGACTTGACCACGAGGTACAAGTTTGTCCATGAGATAAATGGGTGACCTTGTGGAAATCAATTTATGGACAAATACACCCAAAGAGAAAGTATAGTGTTTATCAAGTTTTAGCCATTTTAGCTCTTTTATCTTAGACGATACGTGATCATACCTTCTGAGGCCATATACGAACAGACAACAACTGTTTTGGATTTTCTGCAGTCTATATTTAGTGTTATAATCAATACAGGGATAATAAAGAACCAGCGAATAAAATATTTTAGACATAACAAGACTCTCAACAAGTTTTTTCCGCGTTTTGAAATTAAGAATGTGCCGGTTTGAATATAATAATTTTAACGATATATATGTGGATTTAAGGGTGGCATTCACGTGCTGATTAAAACGGAGGTCTTTATCCAAAATAACGCCCAGGTTTTTTGCTTCGTTAACTAAGGGTATGACAGTATGATTCACAGACAGTTGGATTAGATCAACAACATTAACTGGAAAATTATGTGGACTAAAGACAATAGCATTCGATTTACTAGGGTTTATTTTCAGTGAGTGTCGTTTGCAGAAATTATCAATATTAGCTAAGTTGACATTAAGTTTATAAGAAATTTCATTAAAGTTGCTAGAGTCAAAATTAAATGTTAACTGTGTATCGTCTGCATAAGTTTGGATTGCGCAATGCTCAACACTGTTATGCAAGTCAAACGTGAAAACCAAATAAAGTAGAGGTCCCAAGATCGAGCCCTGTGGAACTCCAGAAGGAACATACTTGGGCACAGATACACCTTTACTGGTTTTCACCTTTTGCGTTCGATTAGACAAGTAAGAGTCAAAGAACATAAGAGCAGTATTACCTAAACCAAGGTACTTCAACTTACTCAAAAGTATACGGTGGTTCACAGAATCAAACGCTTTAGATAAATCAAGCATAACCAATATTGTACCAATGCGATCATCCAAATTTCTGATTATGTTATCAATTATATATAACAAAGCAGTTGTAGTACTATGATTCTTGCGGAATCCAGACTGATGTATCGGAAACATATGATTAAGTTCAAGGTACTCAATAAGCTGTAGATAGACGATCTTTTCTAATATCTTAGAAAGAAAACATAAAATGCTGATCGGTCTAAGATCATGGTATTCAGCTGGGTTTGTGACTTTAGCAATAGGTGTGATGACAGTTTCTTTCCAGCTTGTTGGGAAAAAGCTCTTCTCTAAACACATATTTACTATGTGAGTTATGTGGTCAAGTGTTTCTGGCAAACAAAGTCGTATCATTATTGAATTCAATCCATCACTCCCAGTGGCAGTCGATTTAATCGATAAAATGACATCAAGAACGATTTCTTGTGTTACTGTATGAAGAGTGAAAGGAGTCAAATTATTATCAAAACGGTTGTTGGAGTAAAAATTGGCTGTACTATTAACTACATTATTGGAGTGATCGTCGAATGTAAAATTTGAGAGGAAATGATTATTAGTTTCCTCTGGATCAGATAAACTATCAGGAATCTCAATTCGTTTCTGCTGACAGATATTCATACTTCTCAAATTTTTCCACAGCTTTCCCGAGTTCGAAATATCCAGCTGGGTTAAATATGCCTTCTTTTCTCTGCGAATCGAGGCCAGTGCAAAATTTCTACGGTCCTTATACGTCCGCCAATTTTGATCTGTTTTATTTTCCCGATATGCCCGAAACGCATTGTCTCGCAAACGAAGTATACGCGTTAGATTTGATGTCAACCAAGGAGCAGCAGCTTTGGTAATGCGTGCAGTCCTGATTGGGGCAACTTCATTATATAAGTGAATCAAACGCTCAGTGAAAATTGAAACTTTCGTATCAATGTCTTGTACATAGAAAACATCATCCAAATGCAAAGTTGTTAATCGTTCTTTAAGCAGCTCAATATTCACATTTTTTAGATCTCTATATGTCAAAAACTTTGCTTCTGGTCTAGGAATAGTCACGAGAAGTTCACAATATACCAACCTATGATCTGAAATGATATCAGCATTTAGCGTTCCAGATTTGTTTAACATTACCCCAGCATTGATGAATATAGGATCTATCAATGTAGAACTGAACTGCGTAATTCTAGTTGGCTCATTGATAACTTGAGTAAAGTTATAGGAATCAAAACAATTACTAAGAATATTGTTATGATTAAGTAAATCAACATTCATGTCGCCAAGAAACACTATATTTTCATACTGTGGAGTGAAAAATGAGAGTATGTTGTCAAGAACTTGGATGAATTGATTCATGGAGCAATGAGGCGGACGATATACAACAGTGACTAAAAAGTTGCGGTTATTTGCGACCAATTTACAGCTCATAATTTCAAGTGAGGTATTAACAGCAAAATCTAGTTCTAGCAGTTGACATGTGAGATTTACTTTTACGTATAACCCGACACCACCTCCCCTGTCAGAACGATCCTTCCTAAAAAATGTATATCCATTAAGCAATACATCGCGATCAGGAATATTGCAATTCAACCAGGTTTCTGTTACTACGACTAAATCAAACTGATCATTGATCAGATGAACAAAATTATTAAAATCTGCTGTTAACGAGCGAACATTAAGATGACATAATTTTAGGTTATTTGTTTCATTCATAACTAATTTTTTCTTGCATACTTTCAACGTAACGCCGATACACAGTACAACCGTTCAAATTGGAAGAATGATCATTAGGTATACTCTTTTTGTTGGATCGATTATAGTTTAGGCAATTAATGCATTGTAACACATCGGATTTACATTCTTTCAATTTATGATTTCTTGTGCATCGAGGGCAAACCAGCTCCGCATTGCAAGAATTCTCTATATGACCGAAGGCACAACATTTCATACACTTCACAAAATGTATATGGTCCTGAACTGTAGATCTCTTCCATCCAATGAAAATATATCCCTTCTCCAAAATCGCTCGCCTGACAGGTGAAGTAACTTCAATAACTATATTCGTACTATTGAAGTGCTTCAGTTTAGTCACAAATTTAAAGTTGGCCCTTTCAAAGCTGCTTAAATCATTCAACGCCATAATACTAGATATAATGTCGTCAGGAGTGTTTAATCCCTCTAGGTTAACATTTTTTATCAAAAGTCGCGGATTCAGCTTTTTAGCTTCGCTTATGACAAATCTTCTTCCCAATTTTGTATCCAAGTTACTTTTAAGAGTATTGAGAGATTCATCATCTTTGCAGTGTATAGCAATACCATTCTTTATTTTCCGAGTGTTGTTAATACAGACATTTAAGCTAGATGGATTAACAGATGCCGCAATCTCACGCATGATATTGGAGGAGTCAATGTTATTAGCAGACTCAGGAGATGATTTGACAATAAGAACTGGTGCCTTGTCTTTCACAGTCCTTTTTAACGCATCGCTAGATGTACTCTTATTAGCACTAGCCTGAAGAACTACGTTGCTGCTCTGTTGGGAAGTAACTGAAGCATAAGTCTTATCAAATGATTTCAGCATAGCCTTTTGCAAATTATTTGAGTATTCAAGTTCATTTGCAAGCTTTTTTGTTAGCGTCAGCTCTCTGTTGAGACATTCGACTTCCTTTTCCAGGATAGCAATATGCGTTTTGGTCTCACTACATTTAGCCGGGACGGATTTTTTACATTCATCACAAAACCATAGCAGGTTATCGTTATTGGCAATAATTTTTAACCAGTTTTCTTTAATTGAAGCACATGAAATATGGAATTTTAGGCAGCACAGATCGCATTTGATGACCTTACTGTTAACAATGAAATTGTCATTGCATACACTACAGACGTCCACATCTGGCGCCATAGCTGATGTATGGACCGGATTCTACTGGACTATATGAAGAGATTAAGAAGCGAATAGTTTGAATATCTAGGATGGCATAAGAAATGTTGCCTGAGTGATAAGCAAAAATAGACTTAAACTACCCGGTATTAAGGAAAATATCAAATACAACTGTAAGCATCACTGCAATTCACAAACCATTTGGTCGAGGAAGTCACTGTCCATGAACACTGGCTAAGGAACGTTTTCACAAAATTTTCACACTTTAGTTAACCTAATAAAGATACATAAACAGCGTCCCGCTAATCGGTCCACTGTACGTATCCAATATTGTTCAGTGATGGTCTCTGACTTCGTAATTACATTATTCAATACTCTCCAGTTTTTCATCTGTCAGTGACGCATTATTTCCTCTAAAACAAGTGACTGCTATTAGTGTATTAGTTTAAGCACATATGCTCTAATACTAAAAAAATAATAATATTATGGTGATCAGATCGCCTAAAGGAGGTTTTCAAAATAAAAGATAAAAAACGTTTAAAATGGCTAAAACTCGTCAAACATGCCAAGCTTGAATGTTTTTGTACTCGCTATTTTATTATTTGCTTCTGTAATTTATTATTTTATTATTTATTTAAAACTTTCAATTTTCACGAATATGAGAGGTGAAAAAATCCTAACCTTCACCCATACGAAGTGTAAAATTCAAGCTCAGGGAAAGAAGCACATCGGACTATATAACCCAATTCATACAAAATTCTATCTACGACGGGCTACAGGGTATAATGAATATTTAAAACAGCTTTAAACGGATTAAGAATAAAAACCATACTATATGACCATGTTTGTGCTGGTAATTGCGGACATTGCCATTGCTGTGCAAAAAATAGAGTTCTCGTAATCGATGAGTCATTTTAAAGGTGTTAAGGGCGCTTTAGTTAGTTTACCGCCCTGGGGCGTCAACAAACCCGATCCTAGATAACAGTTATTTATGTATTTAGGGCATTAAGTTGGCATTGGCAGTTCTCGTAGACGATGAACAAAGGCAATTTAGAGGTATAATACTCTACAATTTCTTTACCGCCCTAGGGAATAAACAAGTGTGAGAGATCAAAAGTAGGACTCAACGCACAAACAACCTATTCATAAAGTATACTTTGGCTCCCAGTGATGGATATGGTCCTTAAAATATATTGTTTATGCAACTATTAGAAAAGTACTTCAAATCACTGTTGTGAATAATGCTAATATTTATTTACAAATATTTTTAATCGAAAAATTCATACATTCGGAACTTTTTTTTTGTTTTAGAGCGATCAATTTTTTATAGACTCCAACTCTCCTACCCTGGACAACCAACGTATAAGTGACAAAATACACTAACTGCCTCTATTTTTAAAACTAATTCTTACTAATACTTAATAAAGCTCCAATAGTGGCATTTCTGACATTGCTAACAAGGCATTTCGTTATGTCATAAGGTTCGTTCTGACATCTTAAGCTTTTGACTCTGAAAATCATCGGCAGTTGCTATAGTTGAAGACCATAATCGAATGGAGTAGCATAGCTCATCGTACATCACTTGTAACGGTGTGTGCCCTTGTGTGCATGTATGTGAATCTCTTCAGACTACACTGAATGTGGAGGACGATGTTCACTTCCACTTCAGTACCGAGTTGTACATAGACTTGATTGATCAAACATACTAGTCTGAGCTCTTATATATCCCACCAATTTGGATACCGGACATTATTAGGCACCTATAGGACTATATAAAAAATCTGCTCACGTGATCCAAATCGTGGTCGTATGGTCAGCATGCTAAAATAAATTTTAAACGGTTATTCAACATATCCTCGTAACCAATGAGATGAATTGGAGCTCTTTTGAATGCATTTTGAGATCAAAAATATTTTAAAAGTGCGCATTATTTTCACAATCCAGTAGTTTTTCAGATATCCCAAGGTTTTGAATTTTTATCAGTTTGTGCAGGTATTCAAATAACTCTACTTTAAATCAGAAAATGGTCCATTTAAAGTAATGTTATTTGAAAACCTGCAGGACAGATAAAAATTGAAAACTTTCGCATAATACCTGCTATTCAAAAAAAACTGTAATCATCATAAATCCGTTTGATTTTTAAATGGATATAAAGTGAGCTGCAATAAGTTAAAATCGACCAACTGGTTACGGGGTTATGTCTAATAACCGTTTCACAACTTGACGTGCGCTTTTAAATATGGAGGCCAAACAACCACGGTTTGGACCCCTGACCTGATTTTTAATACTCGAAAAAGGATTCTATGCATGGAGATCTCAATACCTATGGGATTTTAATTTGTTCTGATTTAATTTTTAAGAAAAACTAAAAACTAATTAACTTTCCTATTAGCACTTTTTGGGCACTACATGATGCTGTATTTAAATTTTGTGTCCGACGATTTGTTTTTGAGAAACCATCATCAAGTTTATTTTTTTATATGGTTCGAAAGAAGTACACCCTGTATCTAATAGCACTTTTATACGAATTCAACGATGTATCACATGTTACATTTTATTTTCTTGGTCATAAGGATAAACCCGTTTTTTTTCTATCTTCTTTTTATTTTTTTAAGTAAGCTTTGCATACGGGTGGTTGACTTGACGTAAATACCTGTCACCGAGTATTGTTATTATTGTGTTGTTACTATTGCTTTATTATCGTCAAAGATGCCAGGCGGTCATTTTAGCAATGAATAAAAGTTCGTCATGCCGAGGTGCTACATTTTGTACTACAAAAATACTGAAAATACTCCATAAATTACCAGAAAGAATGAAGCCAAGTAAGTCCATTTTCTTAGAGTTGGCTCGAAATTTAAATGTGGTTCATTGAAAGAGCCTGTTACGTCTCGACAAAAGGAATCTTTAGAGGGAACTCAGAATAGTGTTTTACAAGCAGTTGCTGAGAATTCTGAGGTATCAACTAGGCAAATTGAGAAAACTAGGAGTAGCCAAATGCACAGCCCAATTTAATTTGCTTGAAGATAGATATCACTCCTATAAATTCAGGATTTGCCAAGAAAATAGTATGGTCCGATGAGAGTATGGTCACTAATAATGGTATCTTTAATCGCAGCAACATTCATTACTGGGCTCAAGAAAATCTGCGGGCTAAAAAGGAATCCAGACATTACGAACGTTTTGGGTTTAATATGCGGTGTGGAATTCTAGGGACCAAAATATTAGGTCCATTTAGTTACTACAACTCATTGCAGAATGGTACTTTCAATTGTTGCAACGTGACCTAGAAGACTGCCTCGATAAACCTTTGGCACATAACTCTAGGCAAGTTCGAGAGTATCTGTCTCAGCAATTTCCCGGAGGGTGGATTGGAACCTCCGATGCAGTGTCCTAGCCAGCTCGTTCCCCGAATTGAGATTTTCTGGACTTTTTTGTCTGAGGATTTATTAAAATCTAAGTGTGAGCATACTAAGCAGCAGTTACGAAAACGTGTAATAGAAGTATTTAATATGATTACACTAACAATGTTACGTGATGTTTTTAATTCTACTGTTAAAAGATCATATTTTTGTTTGGAAGATTTGAACAACTATTGTGAATAAAATAAAAATACCGTTAAAAATGTATTCGTTATTCAGAATATCCCTAGATTAAGCATCACTTTATAAAATTTTGTACATCATATTATCATAATGTAATTTGTAATATGCATCTATCTGTAATCACATAATCTTACATCAATTATTTGTTTACTACAAGTGCTAGATAATATAAAAAAAATAAAAAATAAGACAGTTTTTGTTTATAACAAAGAAAACACATGATCGTTGAATTCGTAACAAAAGATGCTATCCGATAATTTTCTTCACCAACTTAATTTTTTCATTTTCGTATAGTTTTTTTTTAATTTTTATATAAAAAAATAAGGTTGGTGAAATACCTCAATAAATCATAAATTTTCTCATCGGCATGTAAGTACGCCCCAAAGAACGCAGCTTTTTCCTAATTTAACCTAAGCTGTATCTCCCACAGATATTGAGATCCCCATTCATAGGATCCTTATCTTGGACACCCTGTATACTCCTATAGGTGTCTAGTAGTGTTCCGCTTTCAAACTAAGGGGACATATAAGGGCACACGCGGACTTTGTAACTTCTTCCAGAATATACGCAAAAAATGATTTATTATCAGCCGCGAATGAGCTTTTCATTATACTTCCGGATCGAGACGTTAAAGTTAGATGTCCACTTAAACAACCAACACCTAATCTCAACCATTCTACTCCAAAATTTAGATAACGAAGAGTGCGAACAGTGCGTGAAGATACTGGAAGAACTGGAAAACATCGATGACGACTGTGAGAGGCACGGTATAAAGTTTGTAAAAACTCAGGATTTGAAGATCGCGGACAAGTTCGGAGCCTCAAATTATCCGGTACTGATGTACTTTGAAAATGGCATAGGTGGAGTATTTGAAGGAGATCTGGAGGAAGAAGAAGAGGTGTTGCAATGGCTGATACAACAGAGGACCGAAGACAGGATCGAGCTGATTACCAGGTAGAATATATGAATGCATTACTATATCGCTTGAACAATATCACTTGCTCCAATCTTATACTTAAACCATATAACAGGAGAATGAACTTTCATTGGTTAACGGAATGAGACGATTACTTAGTAGTCCAAAATCTCAAGGCCGCCAGACTTATCTCTATCTTATTTTCTGAAAGAAACTATTCTACCAAAATATTTATGTTGAAACAATTACTTTTTTCAGAGGTATGTGATTGTAAATTACACTTATTAGCATGAATTGTGTAAGATTATTGGTAACACACTATATATACTATGAAGATGAGGCGTAAACTGTTGTTTCATGGAAGATACATCACCTATCTGTTGTTCCTCTTTAAGCACAAATGATTTCAGGGTGATGTTGGAAAAAATGGTTGAAGAGACTCAATATCTGGCTGTTTACTTCTACAAGCAGAACTGCAACATATGCGAGCAAATTCTAGAAGAACTGGAGAAGATAGATGACGAATGCGACGTATATGGAATTCACTTAGTTAGAATACAGGATCCTCAGTTGGCGAAAAGGTATATTAGAACAGCAATTCATATTTAGACAAAATTGAACAGCCATTTCACAGCATCAACTTGGATGTCTTGTGACTTTTAATTAATGGCCAATTTGTTTTTCAAGACTTTCGTCCAAGATGTCACTACATTTTGAACTCACTAAGCCGATTAGGTAGCTTGATTAGTGTTTGAATCTGTGCAGTAAAATCTTAAAGACTATTTAAAGTCTGATGTATTACCCTCACATTAATTTATTACAGCACTTGCAACTAATTTATTACAAATTTATAACCATGTCAACAGGACTATGCCGTTTCGTGCTGCTGACTGATCATACGCTGTCGGTCGACTCTGCTTTGCCATCTATGCATGTATTTATCTTTGATTCGACGAGCCCAGAAGCATTCCCGCGTTTTCTGGGCTGAACTCGAGCCTTCATCGGAATTTGGTAGATGGCGGTAGATACTTCCTGATGCGTGGAGAATCTTTCCGATGGGCTGTCGCGTAATCCTGGTTGCTTAGGCGCCAATATTATGAAGGTGTCTGATTATTAAACAAAGTTCTAGTTACTAGGGCATTACGATGTTTACTAATTTGTAATTCGTTGATGAAAATGTAATGTATGGAATTATTGTTTTCTTCGTCAACTAATTTATTTATATTTTTGGTAATGATAATAAATATAAACAACGAATTTAATTTTGTTATAGGTACGGCATAAAAACATTCCCAGCCTTAGTATACTTCAGAAACGGAAACCCTCTTCTATTTGAAGGAGATCTCCAGAATGAGCAGTCTGTCCTAGAATGGCTTATAGACGACGATAACAGGGAACTAGCTGACGAGATCGAAGCCGTCAACGAAAGGATGCTGGCCAGACTGCTGAACGAATCACCCTTTTTGGCTGTATTCTTCTGTAGGTATTTGATGACATTATTAACACTAATCAAACACCACATAGACAATTAGAAGTGAACATTCTACCAATTCAGAGCCTTCCAACGCAGCACTAAATGGAACAAACAAGTTATTAAATAACTCTTTGTTTCATTACCTAACTTATATAACATTTTTTCATTGCAGAGTTAACCATTGTTTATTGAATTTAAATTTTTTTGAACTCTTCCCATATTACCTAACTGAAAAAGTGACATTGTATCGATTTCGACAGAAACGGCACTACATCAGCTGGTGCAGATGGGTAAATATGCGTTAGAAACCAAGGAAGTGCTACTCAGCACTTTCCTAAACATACAGGGCGCTTTTATACGTCCCTGAATTTAATCTCCAGAGCCGCGAGGAGAATTGGCCTCGACGAAATAACATGCAAGTGGATAGACCGTACGCCAGTGGCGGCCGGTCCATAGGGGCGAAAAGGCTACAGCCCCCCAAGACAAAATGCGAATTAACAAAAAATTTAAAATATGATTTTGTGATTAAATAATTTCCAGATATATACGAAAATTCAATCAAAACCTGAATTTTAATAGTAGCCAGTTACGCAACACGCAATATATATATATATATATATATATATATATATATATATATATATATATATTATCCGATCCCAATACCCCGAAGTCGCGAGCTAGATTCCCTATCGATTCGAGGCTAGAATAATTTTTGCCGCGATCGCCGACCTGATTGAGTGGCTCGCTACGTCATACCCCCCACGCGCTTACGAGTTTTATACGGGATTTTAACACGCGAGGTGGCGAAATAATTTTTAGCCAGTCCCGATTTACGTGTGTACGAAATCGCTTCGTCGCGTCCCCGTGCCGTCGTTCGGGCGTTCAAAAAGTTTAAAATGGCAAATGAAGTACAAAATTTGTTAAAAGGTGAATTTTCTCGGCTTCCGCTTGCTGAAAAAATAATAATAAAATCCCTTGGAAGGCCGATTCCAAATATCAACCTTACTCAGGCTGATAAATCGACGAAAGCTGGTTGTTTTAAGAGACATTTTAAGAAAGATATCTATAACAAAAACAAATGGATATGCGGTTGTGGCACATTAAACGCCCTGTTTTGTTTTCCGTGCTTACTGTTTTATTCAGATGCAGCGGAAAAGACATGGACAAGAACTGGATTTAAAGATTTAAAGCATATAAACCAGAAAATTAGTAAGCATGAAAATTCGGCTCGTCACATGATTTGTTCGACAGAATTAGCTTTATTGGGAACAGCTAGTATCGCTGCTCAGTTAGATTCCGCTTACAGGCAAAATATTATTAAGCACAACGAGCAAGTGGACAAAAATAGATATCTTTTAAAAAGAATAATAAACTGTATAAAGTTTTGCGGTAAATTGGAATTAGCGTTAAGAGGGCACGACGAAAGTGAAGACTCTGAAAATCGTGGCATTTTTCGAGAGTTGATTAATTTTACGTTCGAACTGGATACAATATTAAAGGAACATTTAAAAAGTGCGACACTGTTTAAGGGTACTTCTAAAACAGTACAAAATGAAATACTAGATAGTATGTTGGAAGTCTGCCAACAAGAAATTCGACAGCAAATTAATGCAGCAGAGTTTTTAGCTATACAGTGCGACGAAACAACAGATATTTCACATCATTGTCAAATGGTAATGATATTTAGATATCTCCATGAAGGTGAAATACAAGAAAGATTTTGGCGTTTTTTGAGCGTTACGGACAAGACAGCTGAAGGTTTGGCAAAGTGTATCGAAGAAGAACTAGGCCCATTATTAAAAGATTCACCCCACAAATTAATTGCGCAAACTTATGATGGTGCAAACGTAATGAGCGGTAGCAGTGGTGGAGTTCAAACAAAAATCAAACAAAAATATCAGAACGCTCATTTTATACACTGTTACGCTCACCAACTGAACTTAATTATGCAGAGAGCAGCCAGCCAAAATCCAAAAGTAAAAGTGTTTTTTTCAAACCTGTCGGCAATTCCAAGTTTCTTCTCCAACTCCACGCACAGATGCGATTTATTGGAAAAAATAGTTAAAACCAAAATGCCAAAGGTTGCGCCAACACGGTGGAATTATAACATTCGCACAGTCAGTGCCGTTTTTGAGAACCGTGAAAGCCTTATTTATTGTTTCTGGGAGTTAGAGAATAAATGTGATAAAACAATTACTAGTAAGGAGGTATACGGTTTAAGAAGAGCACTCGAAGATTCTGATTTCATCTTTGTTTTGACTTTTTTTCACAAAACCCTACCGCACGTAGCTATTTTGTTTAACCAGTTTCAAAGTAGGAATAAAGACAGTGTACAACTTTTAAAAGATATTGACGTATTTGAGAAGGCCATTGTATTGATTAGGGACACTACAGAGGATATACAGCAAACTGTTGAAAATGAGCATGGAGACAATGGAAATAAACGCAGAAAAGTAGGACCCGAAGAAAGAAATTGTATTATTGCAAAAGAAGTTTGCGATATAATAATTGTACAGACAAAAGAGAGACTTTCTTACAGGGGTCATCTAGAAGCTGCATCTTTATTAGATACACAAAACTTCACAAACTATTTGAGATATTTTCCAGCAAAAATACTGAATTCAGTTGTGACTTATTATCCAATGGTAAATAAAGAAAAACTGGAAACCGAATTAGAAGTAATGTACATGAGGGAAGACTTCAAAAATATTACAGGTGGTTTGAATTTGCTGTCCCTATTGACTAATAACAACCTAGAGGAAACTTTTAGCGAAGTAACTAAGTTGTTGCAAATAATTATAACTACTCCCATGTCAACTTCCGAAGCAGAGCGCTGTTTCTCAACCCTTAAGAGGATAAAATCGTTTTTAAGAAACTCGATGGGCAATGAACGACTGAATGCATTGGCAATGATGTCTGTTAATAAGAATCTGGTACATAATATCAGCAATTTCGACGAAAAAGTGATGGAACATTTTATTTCACAGAAAGACAGAAGATTAGACTTTACATATAAACATTAAAAAATATTTTGTAATAAATAGAAGTGTGAAGTGTGACAGTTGAAACACAATGTTTGCTCTAGCTGTAGGTAGGTATACTTAGTCGTTTATAATACAATAATACATTTAGGTATACCGTATTTCTGTTCTCTTTTCCAGTTATTTATAGTTACATGTGTTGTAAGAAAGTGAAAAACTATACTTTTGAGTACTGTTGTTCTTTTGATAATAGATGCTCTGTTGCTTTCATATTAGATGCTGCTCTCTTTTGCGATAAGTTCTCGTACCTAAAATATGTTTGTTCCTATACAGAGGACTGTACATAAAATATATAGGTATAGGATTGCCAACTGATCCATCCACAAAATCAGGACATAAAAAATGCAAAAAAAATTATAGCTCTAAAAATGTATATTTGAATTTGAAGGCTCAAAATGGAAGTTTTTGGGCGTGGCACCGTAAAAATTCTTTGCCTCCGGCGGTGACTGCGGCAGGCCACCCTTCCCTACAATAGCCCCCCATTTCTCACAACCACCGGCCGCCACTGCCGTACGCTAAGAGGGAGATTAATATACACAACTAGTATGGAAGAGACTTAAGTGGTTCAAGTCACCCGAGTATGCCAGCAGGGGGGTGTACTGTCTCCACTACTGTGGAACCTGGTAGTGAATGTGCTAATAATGGAACTATAATTAATTTATCCAACGAACGTACGGAGTAATAAAACAAGTGACAGGGCAGCCCGATTTACACCGCACAACTAACTGCAAAACAGATGCCAGTGGCGTGTAGGTTTTAAAATTAATTGAGTTACCATTTAATTTATTTTCACTGTTTCTTCTATCTTTTTATTACTTTCAAGGTGATCTTGTAAGTCGCCTTAAACTTTGAATTTCTGTGATATCTGTTTATTTTGGATAGCCTGCAATATGGTTTCCGTTTAAACATACAGGGTGTTTGTTCATTTGGAAACTTCCCACCACGGATTGATCGAAAACCGCTGATTAAAAGAAAAAATGCCGAGACACGTCAAAAGATTTGTGAAGGGGGCAACTTTTCAACCAAAAACTACTTCACCCCCTTTTACTCTTGGCCCTTCAGGGTCATTCCCTTAAATTTTTTAATTTCAAGGGATATCGAGTAATAGATTGTTTGAAAGGTATTTCAAAGTCCTTTATTTTGACGTTTGTTTTTTCATATCAGTCAATTAGTTTCCAAAAAAATGATAAAAATCTTTATTTATCCTAATTTGTTCAGATAGAAAACAAAAACACGAAAATATCGCTTTTTATTTCAATAAGTGTTCAAAATGTTGCCCGGGGTTCGCCAAATCCACAATTCGTTTATAATTTTAAACGGAAACTATCAACATAAACAGCAATTCGGAAGATTAGACGTGGCAACAACCAAATAACAAGCCAATTTTTTTTCCGCATTCTTTTCATCATCACAGATATCATGGGCGAACTTTATTTATTGTTATACCTGTTTAGTTATTTGTTGCTAAGGGAAAGAAAGAATTTAATTTGGTGTCAGTTACATTTGTGACAATCTTGGGATAGTGGAAATTAATTTATTGATTCAGATTTTACTTCCAAAATGGTTTACAGACTATGTTGAAAAATACCATCAATCCGCTTATCACTAAAACCATTGAAAACTCAATCGAAGAGGATGGAAACCCCATACTTGATGAGGATGAAATATATTTCCAGCAAGACGGCGCTCCTCCTCACTAGGTTCTTCCGGTTCGGCATTGGCTAGACATCGAGTTTCCAGATAAATGGATAGGGCGAAGAGGGCCTATAGAATGGCCTGCTAGATCTCCTGATTTGACGCCATTAGTCTTTTTTCCATGGGGTCATTTGAAATCTATTGTGTTTACTCCTCAAGCTGAAAGTTTGCATGAACTCCATCAACGCATCATCAAAAGCTGCCATGATATCCCACATATTTTTGTAAATGACCGACAGGAATTTGAACATCGCCTATATGCTTGT